AAGACTGACATCAGCAGTAAATAGAATGATACCAAATTCAGAAGCTAGACAAATAACAATTAAATCTCTGGCTTTTGAACATGCTAATGTACAGGCTGGAGAGATGGCTCAGCCGCTAAAGGCTAGGCTCACAACTAAAAATAAAAGTGCTAATGTACAATGCAAAAGGATAATTCGGCCTTTAAAGGCAAGATCAGCACCCCTGGAGGAAGGGATCCGAGATACAATCAACGTTGAGTCTCATGACCATGATGATGCCTGGATAGGAGAGATGACTAAGAGAGGTTTGAAGAAAAATCTAAATGTCAAGTGTTTCAATTATGGCAAACAAGGTCACCTTAAAATGGATTGTAAACAGGGCATTCCTAGAAACAATGTTTTTTCTAAGCATAATTCAATCAGAACGGTCCTCTCTTCTGGATTATGCAGAAGGTGTGGCAAAGAACTGAGGAGGAGGGTCTCCTGCTCTCCCTGGGATGAAGGAACTGGCTTGGAGATCCTTGACCCTTGAGGAATGAGGAGGTTACTGTGCAGAGGCAGAGAGCTGGTACCCCAGCAGGATCCGTGGAGCAGCTGGCAATGCGACCCAGACTCCTCCTTCTGTCTTTCAATCATTGTGCATGGATTTGATTTAATGAAAGGTAAAACAGTCTTAAGGATTCCCAAATTAGGGCAATGCTTGCCATGCTCAATAGTGCAAGGCTTCCTGTCTAGTGACTGAATCATCCAAAGGCTGCAAAGATCCTTCCGAGAACCAACTCACAGAAAACAACCACTGTTTATCTTCAAAGCCTACGCACAACTAAAAAAAAAATCGATAGCTTCATTCTGATGTTTATACCAGCTACGAAGGTCCCTACTAAATTCCCACTATACTCTTCAGTGGAAGGAGACATTTTTCTGTCTTCTTCATGGAATGCTAGGAAAAGATGTAGTTTGTAACCTGGTGATCCTTTTCTGTCTGAAGGCATTCATCTGAATCCCCCAGAAAATTATGTTTTTGTTCGTTTGTTTTTGAGACAGGGTTTTATTATGCCAAGTCCATGAGACCCCAAAAAAGAGCACCAAGGAGCCAACTCAATTGATGCAAATGTGTAAGGTTTAATGTTACAAGCCTCAGCAGGGACCCCGTCCTGCAAACTGGCCCCGCAGCTGCAGGAAAAGGGCGCCTGGCCTCAATCGTGAGGGCTTTTTAAAGGAAAAAGCTGCAAACAGGGTGGTACGTGCCTTGGCTGTTCAGGATTGGGTAAGAGTGGGTGACCTTTGGATTCATTGGCATGGGGGCTAGGGGAGTTTCAAAACTGTTACTAATGGTTGCCCACAAGGAGAGTTGTGGCGAGAAGATGTTATTTATCAAAATCAGTCATTGCCTGACCACCCAGATGGGGTCACTTTGTCTGGGGTGCACACAATTTGGGTGCTCCTTGGAACTGTTTATGGTTGGAGTTGAATCAGCCTTGTGTCACCCAGGGAATTTCTCAAGGTGGCTTTTTCTGAGGATGGAGTTAGCTCCATCCTTTCCAGTGTACCTCACTCTTACAGATTTCCTTGTGTAGCCCTGGCTGTCCTGGAACTGGCTCTGTAGATCAGGCTGGCCTCAAACTCACAGAGATCCTCCTGCCTCTGCCTCCCGAGTGCTGGGATTAAAGGCCTGCGCCATCACCCACCTGACAATTATGTTTTGTTTGTTTGTTTATCTCAGACTTTCCCCCCCTCATAAAACAATCCTCATGAGAGACATCACTTGTGCTTTATAACAGAAACCTAGCTGATCATCCAGACTTCCCTGAAGGTAGAATTTACATCCAGTGTGCAGGTGACAAATGTCTCCCAGGCCTAGGAAGGAACTAAGTGGATGACGACTGTGTGAGGGAATTTATCCATGATCCCAGAGTTCAGTTCCAGGACTGGTGTCCAGGAGCAGGTGTGTCAGGAGTGTGACATCCTGGGGTGGGGGGAGGGAAGTGACCTGTGTCCTGGAAGGAGGATATGGGTCCATCTTCCTGTGGAAGGATCCGGAGAGACCTTGAGTTCCCTGTGTGGCTGGGCTGTGCCTGGGTCTTTAATACTACATTAGACTAACTGCTCGGTAGGCAGAGAGGTTGCTTAGCATGTTCTGGGTGAGACAGCAACACCACATAATCCAGGAGTGCTGGCACCTCCCTGTCATCCTGGGGAGCTGGAGGCAGGAGGGCAAGAGGGCCATGTGATGCCAGGCCAGAATGGGCAACACCAGAGTGTGTCTCAAACAAAAGCACAAGTATAAATACTATTAATAGGGAACACTCTTTTGACTTTTTTTTTAAAAGAATTTCTCTGTGTAGGCTTGGCTGTCCCAGGACTGTCTCTGTAGACCAAGCTAAACTTGAACTCACAGAGATCCATCTACCTCTGCCTCCCAAGTGCTGGGATTAAAGGCGTGTGCCGCCTCTGTCCTGTACACTTACTTTTGCATGTGTGTAGTTTCTGCGTTTAGGAGGTTGAAGCAGGAGGATACATTTACTAGGGACCAGTGTGATGGGAATGTATAATGAGTTCCAAACTTACTAGGCTCCACCAACAGTATAAAAGCAAATGTAAAATAATAAATGTGCATGAACATTGAATGAATTCAATGGTAAACCGAAGGTATATTTGGGATTAAATCTCAGGGTAGCCAAAAGACAAAGCTCTTGTCCACACACTGACTGCTGTCCTTTCTGAGTCTACCTGCAGATGTCCATCAGCTGAGTCACATGTGCCCTCTAGGCTCCCACAGACCCCTGGCTACGCTGACTCTTTCCTGTCTCTAAGTGAGTTTTTCCTCTCTCATGACCCACAGCCACCACCAATGTCCCTACCACAAGGAAGGGGCTCGGGAGATTGGTGTTTTGTGTGTTTGCTTGCTTTGTGCATTGGGGTGAAAGTACCGTTGGGAAGGACATTCTCTGCTCTGTGACTCTTTCCAGAGCTTCACGTCAGGTCCCAAAGAACTTTAGGACAAATGGCCAACTGTGGTGCCTATTTAACTTACCAAAGCCCATGGACACCAGGGTACTGACTCCCCTCAGTGCTTCTCACCCCTATCCTAAACCTCTGCAGTCCCTGAACTTGGATTCCAGTCCCCCAGTTTCTGATACCTATAAAACCCAGTCATTTTGGAGACCCTTTGTCTACTGGCCATGTTTAGTCTTCTACTTCTCTCCCTGCTCTATATTATGGAGCAGGTCAAAGGAACTCTAAGAAAGATTATATATATATATATAGTACTTAACTTTATTTTATGCCCATTAGTGTGAAGGTATCAGGTCCCCTGGAACTGGAGCTACAATCAGCTGTGAGCTGCCACGTGGGTGCTGGGAATTGGACCCAGGTCCTCTGGAAGCCAGTGCTCCTAACCACTGAGCCATCTCTCCAGCCCCTCTCCCTATCTGCTCTAGACTCTTCAGATGCCCCTGGCTGTTCTCTCCTCAAATTAACAATAAAAACCTCTCCTCAACCATGCCTGGGAATGTCCTTGTTTCTATTCACTTAAGAAAGCCAGAGCCAGGAAGCAGGGTTCTTCGGGGCTGCTATCTCCCCAGCCCCAGCCCACCCTCACCCCAGCACAAATGGATGTGCAGGTGGCCAATTATCACATAGCAAGAAGTGGGGGCCCAGCTTGAACCTCTACCAAGATTTCCCAGTGTGACCCTGGAGGGCTGCACAGCTCGAAGTCACATCAACCAGAGCCCCAGGAACCAGGTGGGACTTGAGGTCTGGATGCTCACCCATCATGTTGTGGGTTTGTCCGCCTTCCCCCCAGCCCCCCCCCGCAGCAGCAACAGCTTATGTCACCCCAGCCAATGCCAGGTTTGCCTTCTACAAGTATCGCACAGCAACGCTCACCCACTTTAGGTCATCACCACCCCAGATCTGTCTTGTTCCTTCTCTCTGTCTGTCTCTGTCTGTCTCTTATGCACCACCACTCTGAAGCAGTCTTTCGTCCAGCCCCATATAAACCTCTTGCATTCTATCTGTTGCCTGGCATGGTCTCTTAGTGGCACACCTCAGGCACCGGCCAAAGGTACCTTTTCTGCATCCTTCTCATAATGCATCAGAGAGATGCAAAGGCAATAAGAAACACACACACACACACACACACACACACACACACACATTTTCCAGAGAGTGTTGGGGTGCTGGGTCACCTTCCCTCTCCCGTGTCGCAGGCAGGGAGAGCAGTGGGATTTGGAGCAGGAGAACTGCTCTATAGGCCCTGCTGGCAGCTGGCCAGTCATCACTTCCTGTGACCATGTCCACATGCAAAAGCTGCAGAGAAAGGCAGGCACTCCAGGACGTCAGAATAAGGGCACCTGGCTGGAATTCTGGAATTGGAAACTGTAACACGAATAATAAAAACCCAGAAACAGATATTGGAATGCAAGATGAAGATCAGAGAATCAAAGCATCCAGCCAGTAGCTCTCGCCTCTACCAATGCTCAGATTGAAGGGGAGACCCACTGAACCTCAGATTGCCTCTCCAGACGGCACTGCTCTCCACCAAGCTCAGAATCCTAGACTGCCCTCTGAGACTGCACTGAGCTCCTTATATACCCTCTAGTGCTGGGATTAAAGGCATGAGCTGTTCCTCTTTCAGACTGATTCACTCTAATGTAGCCCTGGGTGGCCTCAAACTCACAGAGATCCATCTGCCTCTGTCTCTGGAGTCCTGGGATTAAAGCCCAGCTTCTATAGCTAACGAGTGCAGCTGGCTTTGCATTCTGATTCTTCAGGCAATCTTTATTAAATCATAAATACTGTATCGCCACAGGAGACAGCAGGAATAGAATGGTGGGTTTGAGGTGGGGTCTGGGAGCAGGGTGAGGAAAGATGAAATCTAGTGAGTCAGGACTTACTTAAATATCCATGGGCATTTAACCATCATTCATAAAGTAAGAAGTATGAACACCTTTCAAAAAATCAGCCAGGCTTACTTATCTCAGCCACCTTTTATCTCAGAACTCAGGAGGCAAAAGCAAGCAGACCTCTTTGAGTTCCGGGGCAGCCTGGGCTACAGAGGGAGTTACAGAAAAACTGGATCAACAACGCAGAGACACTCTGTCTCAAAACCAAGGAACAACAAACTAACAAAAAGGAATAGGTCCTTGAGATGGGAGTGGGGAGTGGGGGGCAGGAAAGCCCAGGCCACAGCAGGAACAGGGGTTTACACGGACATGGCCTTGGGCAGAGACCCTGTCACAGCCCATGTGACTCTGGGAGATGCTCCTGGGGCTAAGGACAGGAGACATAAAGGAGGGAAGGACAGCAGCAGGACTGACACCGCGACTGCACGTCGGGGAGCAGAGACCATGGAGTCCCCCTCTCTGCTTCTCTGCAAAGGGCTGCTGCTCACAGGTGAGACCAGACCCGCGGGGAGTGGGGGGCGCTCTGACAGGAAGGCATCCTGGGAGGAGACTCTCTGCTTCAGCCTGAGGGGAGAGGGCACAAGGAGGGACAGAGGCTGCTCTGCTGGCAGCTCTCAGGGAACAGGGAGTGTTAGGAGGGAGGAGGAGCCAGATCCTTGTTTACTCAGAGTTAGTCCGGGGGTCCTGAAGGGGTGCCCATGGTAATGGGGTGTGCTTCCCACCCGAGATTTCAGCAAGGGGGTACACAAGAGGGCTGCAAATGTCCCGGGTCAGGTCCAGGTTCTAGGTTTGTGACCCATCGGGGGTCTGGGAAGCAGAGAGGGGTTCGTCACTACAGGGACAGGGACCTGAGGAGTAGGGTGGAGTCAAGGAGGGTCCTTAGGTGACTTCAGTAGGTGAGCAGGGGACGTGCCCTGATCCAGTGAAGTCTGACGTCACATGTTCCCAGGTGCCTGTCTCTCAGGAATCAGGACACCTAGGAAGCACATGGTCTTACACACAGAGACAGGCTGTTTCCCTCTCCATACAGCTTCATGGAGGCAGAATCTCCTGGAAGGGCGGCTGTGGGAGACAGGGAGGAAGCTGCCCCTTGGGAATTAAAATTTTCCAGAAGTCTGGAACACACAGGGTCCAGTTTATAGACACAATCCTGAGTCCTTGGATGCTAGCATTTGTAAATGTTAGGAGTATATATTATGATTAACCACTAACTCAAGACTAGCATTGTGTGTGGGGGGGGGGACAGGATGAAGAGACAGATTATAGGAGAAGAACAGTCTTGGACACTGACTCATCTGTCTTCCACAAGCTAGACAGGGATGAAGGAATTAGGTGACAGAAGTTCTCATTCTCCTTCATTCCATGTTTCTTGTCTCTGACCTTTCTTCTTCATGCTGTATCTTCTAACAGCAGAATTCTATAACAAAGGAAACCATTGTGACTCATTTTAGGACATTAAGACAGAAACAAAGAAAGATCCGCTGCTCTATTTAAAAGCCCCATGCATAAACAATGCTTTTGTTTTGTTTTTGAGACAAGGTTTCTCTGTATTGCTTTGGAGGCTGCCCTGGAACTTGCTCTGTAGACCAGGGTGGCCTCGAACTCATAGAGATCCACCTGCCTCTGCCTCCCGAGTGCTGGGATTAAAGGCTTGCGCCACCAACGCCTGGCTAACAATGCTTTTCTTTAGGAGGCTACATTCACAAGGACCCTGGGCATCAGCCCTGCTCCATACTTATTCTTACCTGAAAATGTCCTTATTGCCCAAGGCATCCTAGACCTCCCTCCTCTCTACTGCAGCCAGGAAAGCCCAGAATCCATTTTGTAAATTGACTGCTTCCTGTGTATTAGACTTTGTGACAATTTCTCTCTCTCACCAAATAAACCTTAAAGCAAAATCAAACTGAGGCATTAAAAACTACCATCAGCTAGCTTGGTGGTGGCACACGCCTTTAATCCCAGCACTCCTGAGACAAAGGCAGGTAGATCTCTGTGAGTTTGAGGCCAGTCTGGTCTACAAGAGCTAGTTCCAGGACAGTCAGGGCTACGAGGAGAAACTTTGTTTCTTTCCTCTCCTTTCTTTTTTTTTTAAGACAGGGTTTCTCTGTGGCTTTGGAGGCTGTCCTGGAACTAGCTTTTGTAGACCAGGCTCGTCTTGAACTCACATGGAGAAACTTTGTTTCTAAAAAAACAAATAGACAAAAAAGAAACAGTTCCAGGACAGCCAAAGCTATACGAAGAAACTTTGTTTCTAAAAAAAACAAAGAGAAAGTAAAAACTATCATTAGCTCTGAGAATGTATAAATAACCCACAGCCACTCAGGTCTCTGGGCACACTGATTCTTTCACAGGTATCTGAGCTTGTCTACCACCGGGACCTCACCAGTCCAACCTCTGTCCTCACAAAGCCCTGGTTCTAGTGGACTGGTAACAGCCAGAACATCTAGAAGGTTCAGTGAGGGGTTGACTGCAAACACAGGGGGAACAGAACAAGACTTTGAAAAGGGATGAGCCAGGGCCTCAAGGACTGCATCCCCAACCCCACATATACTCCTGAGTGTGAGCAGAGATCAGAGGGCAGTGAGAGGGGTCCATGCAGCCACTGGAGGAGAGAGTTCCCTGCAGAGGACCCAGCTCCAGGGGCACTGAGGGATGGAGGGAACAGGCTTTGGCTTCCTGTTGCTTTCCTGTAGCAAGTCCTGGCACCCCCACACCTACACACCTAAGGGAGAGATGCTTCCCCTTAGGAGGCTGCGCTCCGCTGCTCAGGACACGATATGACTAATACTGATGGGCTTTTCTCTTTTCTAGCCTCACTTTTAGCCTGCTGGACCTCACCCACCGTGGCGCTAAGAACTACTAAAGAAATTCGGTTCTCTGCTGCCAAAGGAGCAAAGGTTCTTTTCTCTGTTCCTACCCAGGCAGAGAGCCTTGTCTCCTTTCAATGGTACAAAGGGAAAGATGAAAACAAAGATTTTACAATTGCCCAGTATGAAAAGGCCAAGGGTTCACTTAAACTTGGGAATCAAATCAGTGGCAGGGAAGAAATATATATGGATGGATCCATGATGCTCCGGGATCTCACCGAGGAAGACACCGGGATTTACACCCTAGAAATCGTTGGAACAAATGATCTATATGATATAACATATGTCCACCTCCAAGTGTACAGTAAGTGACTCTCAGTGACCTGTGGATGCTGGGTGGGGCTCATTCCACTTAACACAGGCGTGTCAGGGCTGCCCTGTGCCTACCTCCCCTCTGCCCTGTGTCCCCTCGTTGGGGTTTGAGCATTTAATGCGGGACACACATGGGGGAGTTAAACTGCAATGGATCAAAACCCATCACCAAGTCCACCCTGCAGAGGGGAGGACCCGCAGTGGGTAACTCAGCTAGGGACATTAGACTCAGTCAAGACTCTTGGGGCAGAGATGGACCCTGCGAGACTCAGGCAGGGCATGGCTGAGGAGAACACGGGATCTTCACACAGATGGGAGACCCAGGAAGCCCCAACACCAGACTCCACCCCAGGTGACCCTGGGGACCCTGTCTCCAGGGCTGGGGTCAGACTTCTTGTTAGGGCTGACAGAGAACAAGGCTTTAGTGGCATATGTAAGCAGCCATCCCATTGCTGTGACAGCCACATCTAAGCTGGGTCCCCTGAAGACAACATGGAGAACCAAGCTGGCCTGGTACCCAAGCCATCAGCAAGCTGTTCTCATAGGTTTGCAGGCACTCATGGAAGCTGCCTATCATCAGGGTCCATCCCAGAGAAATCTGATGGCTAGGCAAATGGGCAATAGACTCCCATGTTTTGGGTAGCTGCCCCATCCCAAGGTCAGGTTCTTATTTAAGGTTAGCTCACAAACACAGCAATGATCACTCCCCATGTGTCCTATTATAGGGAAGCAGAGACCCAGGTCAACTCAGGGTCACACAGGCCACAGTGGCAGATCACAAGCACAAAATCTGGCCCTGAATTCCTCCATTGAAGAGGCCTTATTGGGTGCCTATGGAACAGAGGGGGCTGTCTGAGATCTCCGAAGATGTTTCTCTCACTGGGTCTCTTCTGTTTCTACACAGAGATCGTGACAAAGCCGTACATCCTGCTCAACCACACTACAGTGAAAAGGGGAAGGAATGTTTCCATTTTCACCTGTGTGACACCTGACACTGAAGTTGACATCAATTGGTGGTTCAATTACAAGCCCCTCAATTTAACGGAAAGGGCCACGCTGTCACCTGAAAAACACAAGCTCACCATCAACCCTGTCTGGAGGGCAGATGCTGGGATCTATCAGTGCGAGGTCTCCAACTCCTTCAGCTCCAGGAGGAGTAACCCACTGATGTTTGTGGTGGCTTACGGCTAATGTCTTCTCGCTTCTTATACCGGAGCGCTGCGGTTTTTATGTCCCCAGCATGCAAAGCATATAAAAGTTACAGGAGAAAGCTGTCAGTGCATACACAGACTGCCATCATGGTGACATAAACCTTGCATTCCCAAATAAAACACAAGCCAGGAGAAACATGAGTACAAGGTCAGTTCAGTTACACAGTGGGACAACATTTTTTTAAAAAACACCTCAGCAGGGGCTCAGCGGGTAAGAGCACTGGCTGCTCATCCAGAGGGCCTGGGTTCAATTGCCAGAATACACATGGCAGTTCACAACTGTCTGTAACTCCAAGATCTGACACCCTCAAGCATACATGTAGGCAAAAAAACCAGCAATGCACGTAAAATAAATTCATCAAAAATAAAAGAAACCCCACAGAGTTGTAAAGAAGTTAAGTAGGGCTCAGTTTCTGAATTCCCATATGAACTCAGATCCAGAGGGCACTGCCAGGTGTCTCACACTCTCCAAAAGCTGTGACACTCAGAGTCCCCATTAAAATGCTCCAGGGTTGGCATAGAGTAAACACATCTTCTCTCATGCTCAGAGCATTCCTGATGACCGATACCCATGCTGCTCAGACCCCTGTCATCCATGTGAAGTTGGAATAATGACAGGGGATTGGACTGCATGTGTTTTACACTGGACATATGTCTTTGGACGATTCCCAATCTCTAGATTGTTTGCTGCATAGATATAAAATCCATGCACTGGGTTTCTTGTCCTGAGTCTGGCTTTATTTATTTGTTTGTTTTCAGTGGGACCTTGCACAAGATCATGTTTTGTCGTAACAGTTTCTGGTGTGGAAAATTACATTCACTTATTTGATAGTGTTTTTGAGACAGGGTCTCATGAGTTAGTTCCAGTTGTCCTGGAACTCACTCTGTAGACCATGCTGATCTCAAACTCACAGAGATCTCCCTGTCTTTGCCTCTCAATTGCTGGGTTTAAAGGCAGACCCCACTATGCCTGGCTAAGATGTCTTTATCCGTTTAACGTGGTCAAACTTCTTGCTTTACAAATGATGGTTGAAGGCCCACAGGTATTACGTGTAAGATTTACTGCTTTAGCATTTTGATGACCACAGCTGAGTGTCATGAGTGCATTCATATCGCTGTGTGAGCAGCACTGTCTCAGTCAGTGCTCTGCTGCTGTGAAGAGACACCATGGCCACGGCCACTTTTATAAAGGAAAACATTAAATGGGGCTCGCTTCCAGTTTCAGAGGTTCAGTCTGTTATCATCATGGTGGGAATCAAAGCCGCATGCAGGCAGACACGGTGCTGGAGAAGAAGCTGAGATTCTTACATCTTGACCCACAGGCAACAGGAAATGGTCTGTGATACTGGGCATGGCTGGAGCATATGGGAGACATCAAAGCCCACCTCCACAGTGACACTCCACCTCCAACAGGGCCATACCTGCTAATGATATTATATAATGTATGTTGTTAACCATGCAAGTCTTGTTATTCTGAAGCTTGCCTGGCAGTCTGAAATGTAATTTCTAATTTCAATAATTTTAATCTATTTCATTATAAAGTTTATCTTGTTAAATGAAAACATTAATCCTTTGTGAAAAACCAACTTTTAATGGAATTGACTTTTTGGCACAATTAATTTTTACCTCCATTCTATTCTTATTCCCTCTTCCATGGGCTGGTGGGCAGGTGATACTCTTTGTTGCCCTTTGGAGGTGGGGGTCTCATGCTTTAATATAAGAATCAAGTGCCCCTTTAGCAAAACTCTGCACATGGGGAGACTGCAGTTCGGGTCTTAGCTGCAGTTGTGGGCACCGTTAGTGTAAGACATGAAGTCAGGTAGCTGGTGGACCTCTGATAAACCACACAACTTAAGTAAACCCCTCCCAACTGGAAGCCTTAGTTTTTCATCCCTAAGTGGAAATGATTTTTCTCATGACAGACACAGGTAATATACCCCCTGAAGGAACTAATAGAAGTTCATCATGCCGAGAGCCTTCCCCAGCTCAGCCCAGGGTGAAATCCTCACATTCATGCCTTGGCTTTCCCTCCTTGACAGCTGGCCCTGGCTTCTCAGCTGGGGACACTGCTCACATGGAGGCTGGAGTTGTGGCTGGGGTGGCTGTGACAGCATGGCGGGCACATTTCTTACATACCAAGAAGATTCACTCGGACTGTGCTGTGGGTAGGTCTGTGGAGCATTTTCTTTTCTTTTCTTTTCTTTTTTTTTGGTTTTTCGAGACAGGGTTTCACTGTGGCTTTGGAGGCTGTCCTGGAACTCTCTCTCTGTAGACCAGGCTGGCCTTGAACTCACAGAGATCCCCCTGCCTCTGCCTCCTGAGTACTGGGATTAAAGGCGTGCGCCACCAACGCCCGGCCTGTGGAGCATTTTCTTGATTAATGATTGATGTGGAGGAGCCCAGCCCACTATGCACCTATATTTAAAGGCAGTCCAGACTAGACTATTTAAGAAAGGTTGATAAATGTTTGCCTGGAAGTAAGCCGGGAAGCAGAATTCCTCCATGGACTCTGTTCTGGTCCTGCCTGCTGGTTTCACCCTTGCCTTCCTTGAATGATGGACTGTAAACTGTAGGCTGAAATAAACCTTTTCCTCTCCCAAGTAGGTTTAGGCCAGGCAGTGGTGGTGCACACCTTTAATCCCAGCACTCAAGAGGTAGACACTGGCAGATCTTTATAAGTTTGAGCCCAGCCTGATCTACTGAGCAAGTTCCAGGACAGTCTTCAAAGCTACAGAGAAACCCTGTCTCAAAAAAAGCCACCCCCCAAAAAAAGAAAACCAAACTCAGACAGGGTGTCAAACGGGTGCAGGTGGGTCCCTAAGAGTTTGAGACCAGTCTGGACTAAACAGAGTCCCAAACCAGACAGAACTGCTCACACAGTGAAATCCCATCCCCCTACACAAAGAAATCCACTCCTCAGGCCCAAAAATAAAACATCAAAAAAATTAAATTCATTCATTCATTCAAACACACAAACAAATAAACAAAAAACCCAAAATGAAACAAATGCCAGGCAGTGGTGACACAAGCCTTTAACCCCAGCACTTAGAAGGCAGAAGCCGGTGAGTCTCTGAGTTCATGGCCAACCTGATCAACAGAGCAAGTTCCAGGTCAGCCAGGGATACACAGAGAAACCCTGTCTCAGAATATATATTAAACAAGTCAAGTACCCCACTGATGCCCCCTAGATGTTAGTTGCTTGAGTTCTAAGTCCTGCTTGATTTACATAGTGAGTTCCAGGCCAGGCTGAGCCAAAACATGAGACCCTGTGTCAAACAAAGAACAACAGAACCAAATCCACACATGCTAAGGCAAAGATTTGAAGACACCTCCGGTAGCTACATCAGGCAGAGATGGATTCAGCCCTCAGCCTCTATGACAAAAAAAATTAATTTCTTTCAATCCTGCAGATGCCTAGATTTCCAGACTTCTGACTTCCAGGAGTATAAGCATGTCCGTGGGCTTTAATCTACCAATTGTGAAGTAAGAGATGTAAACTCATTAAAAAATACTGTAGACATTAATCGAGGAGGGGGAGGGAGAGGGAGAGGGGGAGAGGGAGAGAGAGGGAGGAGGGAGAGGGCCTTAAGTGGAGCATAGCAGCACTAGGCTGGGATGAGTCACATTTGCGTGACTCTGGGAGGGGCTCCCGTGGCCCAGGTGGGAGGGAATAAGAACAGCGCAGGTGTGAGGCCTAGCCAGAGCTGAGGCAAGCGGGTACTGAGACCATGGGAAGAGAGGCAGGAAAAGATGCTTGAGGTATAAAACAAAAACAGGGAAATCTAAATCTACATGTAAGAGTCTCTTCCATGAGGAACACTTACTTCCTCTAAATTGGTTTGTTTTGCATACTTGACTTTAAAAGTTGTGCATATGTGCACATGCAAAAGTCACACACGGGCAGCCTGCTTTAGCTGGAATTTTAAAGCATTCACAAAAGATATTGTAGGGGCAGGAGAGCTGGTTTTGTAGTTAAGAACACTTTTATTCTTGGTAAGGACCAGTTCCCAACACCTACCTGGTGGTGGACAAGGCCCCGAAACTCCAGATCCCTGGGCTTTGGCGCCCTCCTCTGGCCTCCGTAGGAACCAGGTATATGCACACACATACACTCAAGCAGAGGACTCAGAAAATAAGAATAAGTACATCCACAAGCAACATTTTAAGCTGATAATTCACAATGGCTAATAAGATCCCTAAAGACTATGCATCAGTTCAAAGCAGATAATAAAAATAAATAAATATTCTGAAAAAACTTTAGAGGCTATAACAAAAGCAAGGATAAATTCTGGGAACAACTTTCTACTAGATTCTACATCAAAGGCAGGGGTGGGGACAGGGAGAGATAGAGAGCTTGTATGTAGCCAGGCATGGTGGTGCATACCTTTAGTTCCAGGGAGGCAGTGGATCTCTGTGGGTTCAAGGCTAGCTTGGTCTACATAGCAAATTCTAGGACAGCCAGAGATACGAAAGGAGACCTTGTTCAAAAAAATCTTTTTCTCATTTGTAAAGGCAATGTTTCTTCAGGAATTCACACTCAACATCAGCTGTGGTCATATATATCTCTTTCTCTGTCTCTCTCCTCCTCCCCTCCCCTCTCACTCTCACACCTAAACCTGTGTGAAACTGTCTTTATTTTGCAAACCAGTCCTAAAGTTCCAAAGCCCTGAAGCCCAATTTGTCCTGAATCAAGTCACTAAAGCTTAGGGGAACTCTTCCTCCTGAGGGTGACAAGGTAGAATTGTGTCTCTATCCCCTCAGGGCTAACATTCCTCAGAGGTCCTGCTGAGATCCATCTGGTTGACAGCTTTCCCTGCCTGTCCCTGCTAAAGTCCCCTGCTCAGCCTGGTTTGCATATTACCTTGGGTTCCTTTGTTTTGTTCCCTTAGTTTGGTGTTTGGTTTTTCGAGACATGGTTTCTCTGTATTGTTTTGGAGGCTGTCCTGGAACTCACTCTGTAGACCAGGCTGGCCTCGAACTCACAGACATCTGCTTGCCTCTGCCTCCCGAGTGCTGGGATTAAAGCCTTTGCCTTGGTTTCTCTGGCCAGAGATCTACTTAGTGTTTGTTGCATGCCAATAACACCAAGATTACGAGTCCCCTTCAGTGGTTCTCAACCTTCCTAACACTGAGACTCTTTAACAGTTCCTCATGTTGTAGTGACCCCCAAACCATAAAACCATTTTCATTGCTACTTCATAACTATAATTTGGCTGCTTTTATTAATCATAATGTAAATATGTGATTTCTTATGGTCTTGGAGGTCACAACCCACATGTTGAGAATCGCTACCCTAGACTCATCTATACTTGGATCCTGGGTCGTTATAATAATAGTACATGGTTTTGGGGACAGACATCACCCTAAAACCTGATACCCCACACATCTGAAGCCAATCTCTTGCCTCTAGAGATCAGGCAGGGACTCAGGGGAATGACTTCCCGGATGCAGCCTATTCAGAATAGCTGCCTCCCAGAAAACTTCCTCTAGATTTGGAGTCTCATGACCACTGTCTGTGCCAGCTTATTGTCCATCTTTTGTCTGTAAAGCTAGCAGCTTCCAGGGTGAGGGGGCTGTGATGGTGGAGGGTTGGGGTGTGGAGCCAGGGGAGACACCTCTGGCAACTTCTTCCCCTATGATGGCCTCAAGAAGAACTGAGTTCTATAACTTATAGGGTGAATATAAATTAAACCCCACATACTCCCACTTTATAAGAATCATTCAGCTCTTCGGCTGACTCCACCCCTGCTGAAAGGCAGTGTGTGCTGGGTAATTCAGCCCCTGGGTGCTCTCATCATGAACGTGGCCCTGTGGGAGTCAGGAAGATGCCTGGCTAAGGAAGTCATGGGATCCTCACAGAGGGAGGAGCACTAGGGAGCCCTGGCTCAGGACCTCTGTCCCAGACTCCACTCCAGGTGACCATGGGGACATTCCCTCCAGGGTGAAGTTTGACTTCCTGCTTGAGCTGACAGGAACCAGGCTTCATTGGCATGTGTAAACAGCCAGCCCACTGCCATGACAGCCACATGTAAATCCACAGTTCCTGCTGTGGAACAATCTTTGCACACTGTAAATGTGCATTGCTCTCATTGTTAACAAAAAGCTGATTGGCTGATAGCTGGGCAGGAAGACACTGGGTGAGACAGCCTGACACAGAATTCTGGGAGTAAGAACAGTGGGATCAGGGGCTGGCAAGCCAGTTGCACAGGAAGCAGGAAATGAATGTGCCATGCTAATAAAGTTATTGCCATACCACGGGGTAGAGAGTAAATAAGGATATGGACTACCTTAAAATATAAGAGCTAGGGCTAGAGAAGTGACTCAGTGGTTAAGTGCACTGACTGTTCTTCCAGAGGTCCTGAGTTCAATTCCCAGCAACCACATGGTGGCTCACAACTATCCACAATGAGGTCTGGTGCCCTCTTCTGGTCTGCAGGAATATATGCAGGCAAAACACTATAATAAACAAATACATCTTTAAAATATGTATATATGGGGCCGGGCGTTGGTGGCGCACGCCTTTAATCCCAGCACTTGGGAGGCAGAGGCAGGCGGATCTCTGTGAGTTCGAGGCCAGCCTGGTCTACAAGAGCTAGTTCCAGGACAGCCTCCAAAGCCACAGAGAAACCCTGTCTCCAAAAACCAAAAAAAAAAAAAAAAGTATATATGTATATGCATATATGAGCTAGTTAGCAATATGCCTGAGTTATCAGCTGAGAATTTCTAATTTATATTAAGCCTCCAATCAATTATTTGGGAAGCAGTTGCTGTGTATTTGGTAGCAGGTGGTCAGGACAGGAAAACTCTGCCTGCATGGTCTTCTAGCCATCTCCTTCTGCTGAGACCCAGCATGGAGAGTACCCAGGCATTCAGCCTATTGCTTTGGTGAACCTCTGAAGGGCCCACTCTCACCCAGCCCCTATTTGACAGCCATGTCAGGCTGCAGAAAAGACCCAGCAGGACATAGACCCTGACTCAGCAGCCTGTGCCAAGCTCCCAACCCTGCCCCACCTCGCCCTAGCCACTAGGAAGCCAGAAACTCTCTGTGTAACAAGGAACCAACCAGAAGGTAGCTGGCAGGTTCTGGAATGCAGCGCATAACAACTGCCCTTGGAAGGGCCTCTAGGTGTAGCAACCTTACTGCAGCTGCAGCTGACCAATCAACTCAGGACAGGCTGCACAAGCCCGGAAATGCACCAATCCCGAGACTGGTGCAGACCCCAAACACTCCCCTGGGTTTACCCCAATATTTTCCCTGCCCCGTGGTCCCTTGAGGTCCTTCTGGCTCCACCCACTGTGTCAGACGGACAGAGGACCCAAGCTGACGCAGTTAACTTGTTAATTAATTAAAGACTCTTTGCCTTTGCATCAGATCAGGTCTCTTGGTGATTTCTTGTGGTTCAGAATTCGGGCACAACACTTCTAAGAAACACGTCCTCTTGGCAACTGCTTGTACTCAGGGGTACAGTTCAGTGAAACCCCACAGTTATGCAAATGGTAACAGGCTGCTGATTCAGGATGCTTTCGAGGTCGCAAGGTCAGGTCATTGTTCATACTTAAGGTTACCTCACAGCCACGACAATGATCATTTACTGGGAGACAGAGACACTGAGAACACGGTGGTTGAATCAGTCACTGGACAGCAATGAAGCAGGAGATGCTACCGCTTTACAGCAACTCCTCCACCCCAAACGTCTTACTTAGATGTCTGTGGACCAGAGAGAGATGACTGAGATCTGCCAACGTGAGAACTACTCCCATTCGGTTCCTTCACAAAGCCTGTGGCGCCACTGTCACTCCAAATCACAGAAACCATAACCCAAGAGTAGGGCTCTGTTCCCCTCGCCTGCTGGCCATCTGGTACTGGGATCCACAGAGGGCAAGTCTTCAACAACCAGAGCCCGGAACTGAACTCGAGGACGAGGCTGTCCCATTGAAAACCGCAGGTGAGCTCAGCATAGCTCTGTCTGAGGGCAGAAGCTGGGGATATCAGTGTTAAAGCCTTCCAACATTTCATGTCCAAGAGGAGCAACAGAGTTTACATGACCATGGGATCTGTATCAAATACAGAGTCAGCCCTCAAATTTCGTGGGGAATGGAATTCAGGAGCCCAACACACCCCAAAAGTGGTGGAAACTCTAAGCCCCGTGGAAACGGGGTAGCGTTTGCACGAGGCCAAGCACATGCCCTAATCTGCTCCAGTCGTTTCTGATACCTAATACTAACACCGTCTAAAGAACAGTCATGTCCGTGAAGTGAGGCATGGTGGAGGAGGTCAGATTGGCCATTGGGCATAATGCGTTCTTGAATAGCTTTGATCTGCATCCAGTCGGCTTCCGTATCAATACCGTCTCTCTCTAGACCCCTTCTGCCGCCTCTAACGTGTAGCATTTTGTCACCTGCTTATATGCACACAGACACATAGATACATTTACCGTGTGCTGTGTGAGCTCCTACTAATGATTAAGATGAGAATAAAAGAACCCTCATTCTCCTCAGCCAAGCTACCAAGGTGGGTGGATTAGATGACAAATTGCTGTCATCGGAACCCCTACATGTTGTGGATGGTTATTCAGTCAATTCTGACATTGTGGAATGACACAAACGCGTTCATCTGTTTCTGGCACAGGGCACTCCCAACACAGCCATGTACAGATCCATCGTCACGAGGCGGGGCTAACCCTGCTTGCTTTTCTAAAATCATCCATAGATGTGTAGTTTTTCCTCCTTTGCTCTTAGCTACTTTTCTTTCTGCCGGGCACTCGGTATGGCCTGGTCCTACTTTCTTGGACACTCTGGGCTTCTTTGCTCTTTTCTGAAGCTCCCTCACCCGCTCCCTCCCCGGTGGGGCTGCTTGTCTGCCCTGTGGTGCTGCCCTGTGCTGACCTCCACACCCGGCTCATATATCTGGCTTCTCCCTTCCTCGTCTCCATCTCCCTTTCCAGGCAGCTGCCAACATTTCTGTCTGAATGCCCTGCTCTGTTTTCTTTTCTACTTTTGATGCATACTTAATCTTTAAAAATTTTATGTGTGGGGGTGTTTTACCCGCTGAAGGGATTCAGGCATTATGCTGGCCTGCCCCTTGTCACAAGGCATGCGCCACCATCCACACCGGGCTTCTTGTTTTGTTGACTTTTTTCTCAGAAGTGATTCTTAATGGCATGCTCCAGTGACAAAGAGAAACACCGAGGCCACAGCACCCAGGTGATCCAGAAGATAAGGGAAGTCTCCCCAAGGGAGGGTGCCCATCTCTGTAATAGAGGTACGGGGGAGGACATTAAGATGAGTCCTGTGAAGTGCGGGTCCCTTAGGGTGGCCCAGCCTGGGTGGAATGAGCCTACTTCAGGGCTATCTCAGGCAACTCTTATTTATTTATTTATTTATTTTTGGTTTTCTCAAGACAAGGTTTCTCTGTATTGTTTTGGAGACTGTCCTGGAACTCTCTGTAGACCAGGCTGGCCTCGAACTCACAGAGATCCACTTGCCTCTGCCTCCCGAGTGCTGGAATTAAAGGCATGCGTCACCAACGCCCGGCCAGGCAACTCTTTTACAGTGATGGAGAGAGAGTGTGAGTAGGTCTGAGAAGCAGAGATCCCCTCTGGAAACACACAGGAAGGAGGGAATAGTCAATGAGCCCAGGATCTCCTGGCAGAGCAGGACCTAGAACAGCGGTTCTCGCTGTGTGAGTGTGGCTGACTCGGAGTCCCTTTGCTGAAAACAGTAACAGACACTGTGAAGACTAACCACCCCACAGGCCTTTGCTCCTGGGAGGACACTGTGGGCAGATCACTTGTTTCTTTGGGATATTTTTGCTTCTGTCATAAGGATATTGGACTCACATTAGGAGGAAAAACTGAGGCTTAGAATGGGGTTTTAAAAAATTCACTTAAGTGTGTGAGGTTTATCAGAGGTCTACCCCGCTGCTCACTTCAAGTCTAACACCAACGGTGCTCAGGATTACAGCTAAGACCTGTGAAACAGTCCCTCTATGTGCAGAGTTTTGCTAAAGGGGCCCTTGATGCTCACATTAAATCCTTAAAGCAATATGTAAGACACTCCCCCACCGTGCCCACCAGCCCATATTGGAAAGAGGGAATGAAGATAGAACGAAGATAAATTAACAGTATGGAAAAGTCAATTCCACTGACACTTGGGTTTTGACAAATGATTCATATTGACTTTTTAAAACTAGATTAATTTTATAAGGAAATTGATTGATATTAATAAAACTAGAAGGATAACAAAAATCCCATGGAGAGCAAAATGTATGATATGTATGTCATTGTATGTAGTACACGTCTACCACTCCAAGGCCAGGAAATTCTTCTGCAGATGACATGAACTTGTCTGTAGAGGGTCCTAAAGATTTCACACGAAGTTGTCAGACTAATGAGCAAAATCTGCAAAAACAAACAAGCAAAAGAACACACTTAGATGAGCTGTATTTCTCTGCACTGATATTAACCATGAACAAGTAGATTCCTGTTTTGCCTCACACAGAGGGACAGAAGTAGCATGGTGATCACTTACGTGGATGGGGCTTGAGGGAACGGAACAGGTTTGGAACTTTTGTAAATAGACAACACTCATGCTTACACTGTAGGGAACCTCAGAGTAGGCTCATGACACCCCAAGACCAAGTTCTCAGCACAAAGGAGATATATTTGCCTCCAGAGAAACAGAGGGCAGGAATAAGAGATAAAGATGGGAGATAGGCCGGGCGGTGGTGGCACACACCTTTAATCCCAGCACTCGGGAGGCAGAGGCAGGCGGATCTCTGTAAATTCATTGCCTCTCTGTAACTAGATTGGAATGACATTCCTACTTCCTGGTGTTTTATTTGGAGACTGCAGGTTTATGTTACCACCATGCTGGCTGTCTCTGTGTCAGCACTGACAGTCTCCTCCCTGGAACATTTATCCATGTGGCACACAGGTGAGAAACACACACACACACACACACACACACACACACACACACACACACACACACACCCCGAAACTGACTGCGGTGAAGGAAGAGAGGAGAGATTACGCACTGATCAAGAACAAGTGGACGGGGTTACTCTTCTTGGAACTGAAGGGGTTGGAGATTGCACACAGATACTCCCCTGCATCCTGCAGCCTGAGGGGAGCTATGGTGAGCCTGTGTTTTTCGGGAGACAGCGTCATCCTACTGCTGAAATCCAGGGGCTTGTTATTGAAGATCCAACTGATGTCAACTCCAGGGTCAGGTGACCTGCAGGTGAGGACTGCGGCATTCTGTCTTTTCACTATAGTGCTCTGGACTTGGATGGTGGGCTGTGTCACAATCTCTGTATAGAAACAGAAGAGACCCAATGAGAGATACATCTTCAGAGATCTCAGACAGACAGCCCTCTCTGCTCCACAGGCACCGATGGGGAATCCAGGGCCAAGGCTACAGCCAGACATCTGTGCTTGTCGTCTGCCACCCATGGCCTGTGTGACCCTGAGTTAGGCCCTGGGTCTCTGTTTCCCTATAACAGGACACATGGGGAGTGATCATTGCTGTGTCTGTGAGTTAACCTTAAATAACGACCAGACCTTGGGATGGAGAGCTACCCAAAACACGGGAGTCTATTACCATTTGCCTAGCTATCAGACTACCTGATGATAGGCAGCTTCCATGAGTGCCTGCAAACCTATGAGAACAGCTTGCTGATGGCTTGGGTACCAGGCCAGCTTGGTTCTCCATGTTGTCTTCAAGGGACCCAGCTTAGATGTGGCTGTCACAGCAATGGGATGGCTGCTTACATATGCCACTAAAGCCTTGTTCTCTGTCAGCCCTAACAACAAGTCTGACCCCAGCCCTGGAGACAGGGTCCCCAGGGTCACCTGGGGTGGAGTCTGGAGTTGGGGCTTCCTGGGTCTCCCATCTGTGTGAGGATCCCGTGTTCTCCTCAGCCATGCCCTGCCTGAGTCTCTCAGGGTCCATCTCTGCCCCAGGAGTCTTGACTGAGTCTAATGTCCTTAGCTGAGTTACCCACTGCGGGTCCTCCCCTCTGCAGGGTGGACTTGGTGATGGGTTTTGATCCATTGCAGTTTAACTCCCCCATGTGTGTCCCGCATTAAATGCTCAAACCCCAATGAGGGGGCACAGGGCAGAGGGGAGGTAGGCACAGGGCAGCCCTGACACACCTGTGTTAAGTGGAATGAGCCCCACCCATCACCCCAGGTCACTGTGAGTCACTTACTGTACACCTGGAGGTGGACATGTGTTATTTCACATTGATAATGTGTTCCAAAGGTTTCTAGGGTGTAGATCCCGGTGTCTTCCTGGGTGACGTTCTGGAGCAGCAGGGATCCGTTGCTGTACACCCTCTCCCTCCCGCTGTATTTCTGCCCCCGTTTAAGTGTCTGAGAGGCTGTTTCATAATGTGCGATCTTAAATTCTTCGAAGGCACGTTTCCCTTTGTACCAGAAAAAGGCCTGGAACTTCTCTGCCTGGTTATCAACGCGCAGAAGAACATTTTCCCCCTCAGGAACAGAGGGTGGCACAGCCTCGACAGATGGGCCCGCCACAGCCTTTGAGGTCCAGCAGGCCGAAAGGGCAGCTAGAAGGAAAGCAGGAACACCCCCCATCAGCATCGAAAGCAGGAACACCCATCACATTGGGCCCCTGTGTCCTGTGGATGTCAGCTCATCGCTCAGCCTTGATGTGTAGGTGGGGTGCACCCACCCTACTTGGTGCAAGAAAGCAACACAAGCCCCTTCTCACAGTGCTTCTAAAGCCGGGCCACCTGTAGGGAACTCATGTGTATGGTGCTCTGTCTGCATGTACCCTTACAGACCAGCAGAGGGCACCAGATCTCATTACGGATGGTTGGGAGCCACCACGTGGTTGCTGGGAATTGAACTCAGGACCTCTGGAAGAGCAACCAATGCTCTTAACCTCTGAGCCATCTCTCCAGCCTGTAGGGAACTCTTAGGAGTTTGCACGGCCCTGTCCTCATTATCCTCACATCTCTGCTCACTCTCAAGAGTATTTTGGGGATGGGAGGTGCCTTCCCTGACTTCCTCCTCTGGAGACCCCACACCCCCCTTCAAACATTCCTTATTTTCTTGCTCTGTTCCCTTTGTGTTTGCAGTCAACCCCTGGCTGCCCTTGCTTTTGTCTTTCTGGCCATTAGAATGAAGGCCCTGGGGGCTGGAGAGATGACTCAGCGGTTAAGAACACTGACTGTTCTTTCAAAGGTCCAGAGTTCAATTCCCAGCAACCACAAGGTCACTCACAACCACTTTGTTTTTTGTTTTGTTTTGTTTTGTTTTGTTTTCGTAGCTTTGGAGGCTGTCCTGGAACTCACTTTGTAGACCAGGCTGGCCTCGAACTCACAGAGATCCGCCTGCCTCTGCCTCCCTAGTGCTGGGATACTCACAACCACTTTGAATGAGATCTGGTACCCTCTGCTGGCATGCAGGCAGAAGGCTGTATACACAATAAATAAATTAAAAAAAAAAGAATGAAGGCCCTGTTGGTACTGGGGAAATACCTCACTGGTTGAGAGCACTGGTTGCTCCTCCTGAGGACCTGGGTTCAATTCCCAGCACCCTCATGGCTTCTCACAGCTGCCTGTGACTCCAGTCCCAAGGAATCCAGTACAACATGAAGGGAGTGCACAGACATTCATTCAGGCAAAAGATCATATGCAAAAAACAAAAGCAAATAAAGCCTCAGAACAAAGGCTCCGTGAAGTCTGCTCTATGTGGGAGGCCGGGTGCCTGGGAAAGGCTTGGATACCTGTGGCCGAGTGGATGATGGGATGAATGTGACCAGGGGCTGGGTACCCAAGCTTGTTTTTACAAACTCCTGAGCTTTAGAGATAATGAGTGTTTAATACCATGGGTTGATTTATATTTTTCCCATTTATCTATATCTTTGTTCTGTGTGTGTGTGTGTGTGTGTGTGTGTGTGTGTGTGTGTGTAGTGGGGAGGGAACAGGAAAGAGAGAGTGAGGGAGAGAAGAAGGAAAAGAGAGAAGGAGGGGGAAGGGAGAGAGGAAAGGATAGATGGAGGGAGGAAGGGAAGAAAGGATGGGTGGAGGGACGAAGGGAGGAAGAGAGAGGGGAGAAAGGAGGAGGCAGGGAGGGAGAGGGGAGGGAAGGAGGGAAGGATGGAGAGAGGGAGAGACTTTCACAAAGCCTAATTGCAGTTCCAGACTGGGGCCATTACTTGGCAGTGGCCACCTTACAAAGTGGGAGAGGCTGAAGTCTCCCAGCAGCAGAAAATGGAGCCAACTTTACCCTTTTCTCCAGGGAGAACACTGCTTTTTGTGGACCAATCCACATGGGGACAGATAAAGACTATTCAGGCAGAAGGCATTAGAGCCCAGGAAGCGATCACAGACTCCTTGGCGTATACTGTGACCGCCTCTGACGGCCATCCGAATCCTGACATCCACGGGGCTTGGCTGAACTCAGATGGTTGAGCCAATTCATCAAATACAGCCCAACAGGCCACCAGACACATGGATAACACTGTCCCGATGCGACAGTGCTGTTACCAGTCACTTACCCAGCAGCCTGCAGCTCTGCTGCGAACACAAAATGCTGTCCGGCTTGCAGAAGCCAGAAGCCTTTTTGTCCGGCCCTCCACAGCCCCGTTACAGCGAAGGCACCTTAGCTGCCCTTCCTCCACACATGTCTACATCCTCTGGTTCTCTTTCCCGTGTCTAACACACTCAACACACTCCCTTATCTTCCCAGACAGTGTTGCAAGCCCCTCCAGGCATGTGAGTGGCCAGACCCCTCCCCCAGGGACCTGCAACTGCTGGGTTCCACCCACAAAACACTCTACTGTCCTAACAGCTGGACCCAATCTCTGGACAGGAAATCCCACCAGTCTCTACCCTGGAAAGCTCCACCCTGACAGGTTCCACCCTCTCCCCGAGAATCTCTACATAAGCTCTGTATCCTGTTCAGTTTGCTGCTGTCTCTTCCCCGAGCAGAGGCAGCCACACTCCTGTTTTGGTTTGGTTTTTTTTCCCTCCCAATAAATCTCTTGGTGAAGTTTGTGGCACAGTGTGACTTTGTGGTAGTCCTTGGCTTCCCACTGCCAGGATACCTTTCCCTCTGAGCTGTGATGCTTGTAGGTGTGTTCTAGTCCCATGCTGTACTCTGCCGAATGCCCTGTGACTGTCTATAAGTCGTGTGGCCTCAAGGAAAGATCTTTGTACCTTATCCATCATCACGGGGATTGTTGATGGAAAACAGAGCTCTCACATCATGGGGGAGATGAGACACACTGAGTGACCATCAGCCCCCCATTCCTTGATTCCTTCCATGTTTGACGCTTTCTGTTCTGTTCAGTAACTGAGAGAGCAAAGGTTGTTGTTCTGGACAGACAGATTCCCAAGATAGAGAAGACAGACAGCATTCAGGCAGCCAGGAGGACACGGATTGAGACTTAGACAACAGACAGGTTACAGATAGGCTGATAACCGTCATCTACAGAGGGACAAGAGCAGGAGCCAAGGAGAGAATTCCAATTGGGATGGATCTTACTCAAATTAAGCGGAAAGGGGGACTCTGGTTTCTTTCATGTGACACTGATGAATGTTGGTGTCTCTGAGTTTATTTCGACTATATTTAACAGATTCAATACAACAGGTTATTATATTTCAAGTTAAAATAATGAAGATCACTGTTTGGCCTATTGGAGCAGTGATTACAGATGAAAGGAACAACCAAAATTTACACATTTTTAAAATTAAAGTCTAGATTGATTATACGAGACCCTTGAATTTACAGTCTTGTGGACTTTAGGAAAAACCTATTCCATTTTGGAGTACTCAGGCAAATGTGCCATTGTTTTATGTTAGCCTTTCCTGTGTCCAGTGTCACCTTACAGCTATAAACAGTGCATGAAGACATTGCCCAGCAATAGCAGTTCTGAGGGGACAGAGGCACAGCTGTACTCTGTTATCAGCAGCCTCCTGAAGAGTCCCCTAAGCTTCGGGGACCTGCACTCAGGCCAAACAAGGCTTCACAGCTTCAGTGCTAAAGGCAACGTTCAGACTGGCTGGAGGAGTAAAGACATTTTACCTCACAGGGGGGAAAAATGCAAAAAAAGAAAACAAGTAATCTGTGGTCAGTGTGAGTGAGGAAGCTTCCTGAGGACAAGAGCTCTTTACACAGGGGATACTTTCACACAGCATGAATTCTCTATCTCGTTTGCTTTATCTTTAAATGGGCTATATTGTTTTCCTTTTGTGCAGATTTTTGCTGTTTGGAGATTTGGAAGAAGGCATTGTCAGAAAGAGAGGAGAAAAAGGAGGTAGCATGGGAATCTATAATACTGGTATGACACTCACTTTTTCTTGTTCTTTTCAAGATCAGGTTTCTCTGTGTAGCCCTGGCTGTCATGGAACTTGTTTTGTAGATCAGGCTGGCCTCAGACTCACTGAGATCTGCCTGCCTCTGCCTCCTAAGTGCTGGACACCCACTTTAAAAAAAACTGATTTTGTGTTTATTTTTATTTTATCTCTTCACACTTAACTTTCATAGTGCTTGCTAATTATGAATTGCCGATTTTAGAATTTCTTTTTTATTTTATTTTTAAGACAGGGTCTCGGCTGGGTGTTGGTGGCGCATGCCTTTAATCCCAGCACTCAGGAGGCAGAGGTAGGAGGATCTCTGAGTTCGAGGCCAGCCTGGTCTACAGAGTGAGTTCCAGGACAGCCTCCAAAACAATACTGAGAAACCCTGTCTCGAAAAACAAACAAACAAACAAATAAACAAACATAAAAAGACAGGGTCTCTTTGTGTAGCCCTGGCTGTCCTGGAACTCTCTCTATAGACTAGATTGACCTCAAACTCGCAGAGACCTACCTGCCTCTGCCTCCTGAGTGCTGGGATCAAAAGGCGGGCCACCACCTCCAGCTATAATTTCTTTTTTATGTTATTGACACCGTCACAAAAGTAGGCTGCCTATTTGTTACTTTTTAAGTGCTCTTTAATTGCCAATGACTGTTAACTTTTACACTAAGTCAACCAATTTAGAGGTAGGCGATGCGTGGGAGGGACTTCGATTTTGCTAATTTTTCCTTATTCCCCCAGGTCCTGTTTTGAAAGCTCCCTGTCCTTCCAGTATCTCCTACAAACGCACCCCTTTCTCCTGACACTCTTTCTACAGTATCCTCTTGCCAAGAGACCCCAAGTGGCCGGGATGTGCAGAGCCAAGCAGGGTCCCGTTCCTCCTTCCACACCCTTGAATGATTCCCACCTACAGGGCCAGCGCCCTCCCTTCGCGATCCTCATGTGTGTCCTACTTCCACCAATCTCGGGTACGAAGCATGGTGACCCATCTCCGCACCCGGACTGGCCGGCCAGTCTTCAGAGAACACACATCAGGTGATGGTGATTCTCACTGAATAAAGTATAATCTGGCTCCCCGCGAAACATTTCCAGCTCCCGAGGCTCCCTGGGGCACAGCCTCTACCCCTCCCTGTGCCCTGTCCCCTTGGAATTGAAGCAGAGAACGAGTCTCCTCCCAGGGTCTCTTCCTCTCTGAGGGGGGGGCGAGGGGGGGCTGTCTCACCGGTGAGCAGGAGCCCTTTGCAGCAAAGCAGAGAAGGGGGCGCCATGGTCTCAGTACCCGCTTGCCTCAGCTCTGGCTCGGCCTCACACCTGTGCGGTTCTTATTCCTTCCCACCTGGGCCCCGGGAGCCCCTCCCAGAGTCACTCAAATGTGACTCATCCCAGCCTAGTGCTGCTATGCTCCACTTAAGGCCCTCTCCCTCCTCCCTCTCTCTCCCTCTCCCTCCCCCTCCTCGATTAAAGTCTACAGTATTTTTAAATGAGTTTAAATCTCTTACTTCACAATTGGTAGATTAAAGCCCACGGACATGCTTATACTCCTGGAAGTCAGAAGTCTGGAAATCTAGGCATCTGCAGGATTGAAAAGATTTTTTTTTTTTGTCATAGAGGCTGAGGGCTGAATCCATCTCTGCCTGATGTAGCTACTGGAGGTATCTTCAAATCCTTGTCTTAACATTTGTGGATTTGGTTCTATTGTTTCTCTCTTTGTTAGATACAGGGTCTCTTTTTTCTTTTTCTATTTTTTTTCTTTTTGGCTCAGGCTGGCCTAGAACTCACTATGTAAATGTTAGAACTAAACAGCTAACATCTAGGGGGCATTAATGGGCCACTTGGCTTGTTTATTTTATTTTATTTGTATTTTTTGGTTTTCTGAGACAGGGTTTCTCTGTGTAGTGATGGTTGTCCTGGAACTTGCTTTCTTGATCAGGTTGGCCTTGAACTCAGAGATTCACCTGCCTCTGCCTCCAAAGTGCTGGGGTTAAAGGTGTGCACCTACTGCCTGGCATTTGTTTTGTGTTGGGGTTTTGTTTGTTTGAATGAATGAATTAATTTAATTTTTTTGTTGATGTTTTATTTCTGGGCCTGAGGGGTGAATTTCTTTGTGTAGGGAGATGGGACTTCACTGTGTGAGCAGTTCTGTCTGGTTTGGGACTCTGTGTAGTCCAGACTGGTCTCAAACTCTTAGGGACCACCTGCACCAATTTGATAACCTGTCTGAGTTTGGTTTTCATCAATGTGCTAAACACTATGACCAAACCTACTTGGGTTTTTATTTTTGTTTGTTTTGAGTATTCGAGATAGGGTTTCTCTGTAGCTTTGAAGGCTGTCCTAGAAATTGCTCTGTAGACCAGGCTAGCCTTAAACTCACAACGATCTGTCTGTCTCTGCTTTCAAGTGCTGGGATTAAAGGTGTGCACCACCACTGCCTGGCCTAAACCTACTTGGGAGAGGAAAAGGTTTATTTCAGCCTACAGTTTACAGTTTACAGTCCATCATTCAAGGAAGGCAAGGCTGAAACCAGGAGGCAGGACCAGAACAGAGTCCATGGAGGAATTCTGCTTCCTGGCTTACTTCCAGGCAAACATTTATCAACCTTTCTTAAATAGTCTAGGCTGGACTGCCTTTAAATATAGGTGCATAGTGGGCTGGGCTTTTCCACATCAATCATTAATCAAGAAAATGCTCCACAGACCTGCCCACAGCACAGTCTGAGTGAGTCTTCTTGGTATGTAAGAAATGTGCCCGCCATGCTGTCACAGCCACCCCAGCCACAACTCCAGCCTCCATGTGAGCAGTGTCCCCAGCTGAGAGGCCAGGGCCAGCTGTCAAGGAGGGAAAGCCAAGGCATGAATGTGAGGATTTCACCCTGGGCTGAGCTGGGGAAGGCTCTCGGCATGATGAACTTCTATTTGTTCCTTCAGGGGGTATATTACCTGTGTCTGTCATGAGAAAATCATTTCCATTTACGGATGAAAAACTAAGGCTTCGAGTTGGGAGGGGTTTACTTAAGTTGTGTGGTTTATCAGAAGTCCACCAGCTACCTGACTTCATGTCTTACACTAACGGTGCCCACAACTGCAGCTAAGACCCAAGCAACAGTCTCCCCATGTGCAGAGTTTTGCTAAAGGTGCCCTTGATTCTTATATTAAAGCATGAGACCCCCACCTCCAAAGGGCAACAAAGAGTATCACCTGCCCACCAGCCTATGGAAGAGGGAATAAGATTAGAATGGAGGTAAAAATTAATTGTGCCAAAAAGTCAATTCCATTAAAAGTTGGTTTTGTTTTTTTATTTTTATTTTTAAATTTAAATTTAAATTAGAAACAAGGTTGCTTCACATGTCAGTTCCAGGTCCTTCTCCCTTTCCCTCCTCTGCTCCCACCTAAAAGTTGGTTTTTGACAAAGGATTGATGTCTTCATTTAACAAGATAAACTTTATAATGTAATAGATTAAAATTATTGAAATTAGAAGTTATATTTCAGACTGCCAGGCAAGCTTCAGAATAACAAGACTTGCATGGTTAACAACATACATTATATAATACATATGTATAATTTACGTATATGTGTGTAATTGTGCGTATGTGTACTGTTGTGGTACTCTGAATGTAATTAGCCCCCATAATCTCACAAGATGAGGCACCATTAGCAGGTATGGCGGGAGCATGGCAGCTGGGAGTACAGCAGTGTGCAGGCAGACAGGGTGTTGGAGAATTCTACATCTTGATCCAAGGGCAACAGGAAGTGAACCGAGACACTGGGCAGTATCTTGAGCATAGAAAATCTCAAAGCACGCCCCCATAGTGACATACTTCCTCCAGCAAGACCACACCTACTTCAATAAGGCCACTGCTCCTAGTAGTGCCACTCCCTTTGGGGGCTATTTTCTTTCAAATCACATCTTCTGTCCCCTATCTTTGTCTCTCATTTCCCTCCCTTTGTCCCCCTGAGGCAAATACATCTCCTTTGTGCTCTGAACGTGTGGTCTTGGGGTGTTCTGAGCCAATATGGACCTTTTACAATAACTTCATCTCTGCTGAGATCCAATGCCTCTGGCATCTGCGGACACCTGCACTCATGTACAGACACACACACACACACACACACACAGAGGCACATACACATGATTTTAAAAAATGACTCTTAAAAAGACTAAAACCAGTAACCTGCTGCCACGGTCTATAAGCACACTGAAGTTTCACAAATCTTCTCTAAATTGTCCTCCCATTCTGAATGCAAGTGTTTCACACTCACCTGAAGCTTGTCATTTTAAAGGGTGTGTGTGTGTGTGTGTGTGTGTGTGTGTGTGTGTGTGTGTGTGTGTGGAATTAGCCTATGATGGGCTAGGCAGTTCTTAGGAAACACTGGTAACGCTGTGCTACCACCTAGCGGCCATGATTGGGAATCACACTTAGCCATTCTCAAGATAGGAATTGCAGGGTCCAAGTCAGAGCCAGAATCAGCCCAGGCCACACTACTGAGCAATTTAACATCTGAAAGTGAAGTATTGGGCTCAGTAGCAAAGGCACTGCCCCAAATCCACAGAACTCACAGCGTGAAAGAAGAAAACTCTCAAAAAGCTGTCTCCTAACTTCCACTCACATGCAATGGTATGTGGGCACCCCACCCCCCACAATAAATAATAAACACTACACAAAAGTGAAGTTCATAGTTTGGATAGCCAGGCAGTGGTGGTGCACACCTCTGATTCCAGCACGCTGGAGGAAGAGGCAGGAGGATCGCTGTGAGTTCAGGTTGGTCTACAGAATGAGTTCTAGGACAGCCAGGGCTACACAGAGAAACCCTGTCCCGAAAAGACAAAAAAACAAATTATATTTTTATCTATTTCATGTGTGCGCATGTGCCTGCGTTCCGTCATGGAGTCAGGTGTCGTCCATCTTTTCAAAGTGTTTGTTTATTTGTAGAGTCAGGGTTTCTCTGTGTCTCCCTAGCTTCCTGGAATCTGCCTGCCTCCCCTTCTCAATCGCCCCACAAGTGCTGGGATTAAAGGCTTTCATTGCCACACCGCCACCACCAGTGACTTTCACCTGTTTTTTTCTGAGGCCTGCTCCCATTGGCTTAGAACTTTGCCAACTAAGTGAGTTAGGGTAGCTGGTCAGGGGTCCAGCTGCAGGGGTCCAGTTATCTCAACTCCCGTCTCATCATGGCTGGTATGACAGGGACACCGCACCATGACCACAGAAGACAGGGATGCAGAAGAAAAGACCCAAGACATAATGGACATGAACGCTGCCTAACTTCATTTTAAGAGAAGACTTATTTTTCAGTCTCTCTCTCTCTCTCTCTCTCTCTCTCTCTCTCTCTCTCTCTCTCTGTGTGTGTGTGTGTGTGTGTGGCGCACACCTTTAATCCCAGCACTGGGGAGGCAGAAGCAGGTGGATGAGTCCGGGGCCATCCTGGTCTACAAAATGAGTTGCCACAACAGGCTCCAAGGCTACATAGAGAAACCCTGTCTCGAAAATATGAGAGGGGGGGAGGGGGGGAGGGAGGGAGGGAGGTATTAAGAAAGTAGGTCCCTACTTCAGGGAATATGAATCAAAAATCAGAGACTCTTAATCCCAGCACTTGGGAGGCAGAGGCAGGCGGATCTCTGTGAGTTCGAGGCAGACTCAAATGTGGAAATTATACAAAGAAGGAGGCATGTGTGCCTTGGGAAGACAGGAATGGAGGTCAGTGGTAAAACCTCCCAGCACAATAAGGTCCTGGGTCTGTTGAGTAGCATCACAAAGGAAAAAGAGAAAGAGAGCCATCTATGGGACACAGGCTAACCTGCCAGATAACTCCCAGCTTCACAGGTCTGGAGTGGGACCAGATGTTTTGGATCCTTATCACAGGCTGCTGCTGGTCCTGATGGAGATTCTTGTGGTGATGGAGAGGAGCGAGGCTTCCACCAATAGTTTTGAGCTAAGGTTATACATTTGAGTTGGCTATTGATTATGTTCAACATGCATGAGGCTACACTCTGCCCCTGGGGAAGCAGAGGTGCCTACAATGAACTCCGGATGGAGTGTTTTGAAAAACTCCACATGAAACATACAGAAAAAGATATACCTGGGTGGTTTGTGGTGCCTTTAATCCCAGCAGAGGCAGGTGAATCTCGGAGTTCAAGGCCAGCCTGGTCTACAGAATGAGTTCCAGGATAGCCAGGGATACACAGAGAAACCCTGTTTCAAAAAAAAAACCAAAAGGGGGGAAAAAAAAGATAAAATGTTCAATAGGAAGCAGGATGATTTTCAGGTTCAGTTCAAAGTCAGCCTGACCTACTTATGGAGATTATGTGTCAAAAATAACAAGAATATCCAAGGACTTTAATCCCAACACTCCTGAGTTTGACGCCAGCCTGTTGTACATAGCAAGTTCCAGGACTATGTAAAGAGACTCTGTCTCAAAAATGAGTTAGTTAACAATAAAATAAATGACTTGCTTGAAACAGGGCACACCTGTGTACCTTTGTGCTATTGGATATCGGGTCAGTGTGAAGATGTGTCTTTTTTCTTCCTTATCTGCCTACGGCACCTTTTGGTTGGTTTAATAAAGAGCCGAAGCCCCAGTAGCTAGGCAGGAGAGGATAGGTGGGATTTCCTGAAAGAGACAGGAACTCTAGGAAGAATCTGAGTCAGGGAATTCACCATTGAGATTTGGAGGAAGTTGGGCATACACTGTATCAAGGAGCAGTAATGATCCAGGTGGCAGAACATAGATTAATATAAATGGGTTCATTTAAGTTGTAGGAGCTAGTGGGGAACAAGCCTAAGCTAAGACCAAGTTTTCATAATTAATGATAAGTCTCTGAGTCATTATTTGGGAGTTCAAGGCCAGCCTTCATACTTGAAGACACCATTGTAAAGAGAAGCCTTTTCACCAGCCTGGTTCCAGAGCCACATTGTCCCAAATAAACACACAGGAGGCTATATTAATTATGAAGCTGTTGGCCTTGCTTTTTTCTTACTGGCTAGCTCTGACTTAAGTATTTACCCCATAATTGTTAATCTAGGACAGCCTCCAAAGCCAGAGAAACCCTGTCTCAGAAAACCAAAAAAACAAACAAACAAACAAACAAAAAAACCATAATTGTTAATCTAAGTATTTCTCTTATCGGAGAAGTTTCCGGGCTTCTTATCCCTATGGCGGTTACATCTTGACTCCCTGTGTTTCTCCTTCCCAGAGTCCTCCTGGATTCCTAGTCCCACCTATCTTGCTTCCCTATTGGCCAACAGAGCTTTATTGACATATACACAAGACTTCCCCCATCACACCGTCTAACCAAAAACTATGAAAATAAATAAATTACATGCCACTAATATGACTCATTACTGCTGATCACGCTGACCAGGCTAGCCTCTATAATGTGTGACAATCCTCCTGCCTCTGCCTCCCAGGACTGCTGGGCATGCAGTCCTCCATTTACCACCCGGCTTAAAATTCCATATAGGTGTGTGTGTACATGTAGATGGGAAAACAACAAAAAATTAAAAGTGGGCTGGGGGTGGTCGTGCATGCTTGTAATTCTAGCATTTGCGAGGTAGAGGCAGAAGGATCAGGAGTTCAAGGTCATCCTTGGCTACACAATGAGTGTGAGGCCAATCTGGGATACATGACACCTTGTCTCAAGAAATCAAAAAGGGCCTGGCAGGATGGCTCATAAGTTAAGCTCCATTATTGCTCTTGCAGAGGACCTGGGTTCAGTTCCCAGCACCTACACTGTGGTTCCCAGATGTCTGTAACTCCCATGCCAGAAGATCCGATGCCTTCTGCTGACCTCCATGGGCACCGGGCGAGCGTGAGGTGCACACATATATTATTCAGGGAAAAACACTCATATGCATAAGATAAAATAAGATCAATGTTTTATTTTTATTTATTTTTTGCTAAAAAGTTGGCTGGTGGAAGGAACGCTTCATAGTATTTATGAAACCCTAGATTCAATGACCACCATTGCAAAACCAGAAAACACAACACGGAAAAGAGGGTTAAGATGGTACAGTGCTTGCTATCGTGCATGAAGCCCTGGGTTCCATCCCTGGTATCATAGGAAGTTGTATAGAGGTGCAGCTTTGTAGCTTTGTAACCCAGCACCTAGGAGGAGAAGGCAAGAGGAGCAGAAGCCCAGGGTTATCACTGCTATGAAGGTTTGAATGGGAATGGCCCTCACAGGCGCAAATGTCTGAATCCTTGGTCCCCAGTCGGTAGAACTATTTGGGAAGGATTAGGAGGTGGGGCTTATTGGAGTGGGTGTGACCTTTTTGGAGGAAGTGTGCCACCGGGGTTTCCAAAGCCCATGTCATTCCCAGTTAGCTCTCTCTGTCTCAAGATGTAAGTTCTTGGTTACTGCTCCCCAGTACCTAGTTACTGCCCACCTGCCTTCTGCCACGCTCCCCAGCACATGGTCATGGACTCACCCTCTGAAACTGTAAACAAGCCCCAGTTAAATGCTTTCTTTCATAAATTGCCTTGGTCATGGCGTCTCTTCACAGCGATAGAGAAGTAACCAGGACACTTGGCTACTATGGGGTTGAGTAAGAGGTTAGCTTGGGGGTAAAAAGCAAACAAGGGGAAAAAAACATCAAACAGTGCTGGTGAGATGGCTCATCGGGGAAAGCCTCTTGCTATCAAGCCTGATGACCGGAGTTCGATCCCCGGGACCCATATTATTAATAGAAGGAGAGGATGAACTCCACAAAGTTATCCTCACACAAAGACTTTCCATGCATGCCCTGTCATAGGTATGCAACACACACACACCACACACACACACACACACACACACACACACACACACACAAATTCGATATTAACAAAAAAAAAAGTAGAGCAAACAGAAAAAATAAGCAACAACAAAAGTCCATCATCAGTACAGTACTGATGCTGCATGTGTGGGGGCCCCAGGGTGTCATCCTTAGCACCATAGCAATGGGCTAAATCGTGTCAAGGCTGTGCCGTAGCCTGGCAGGAGACAGACGAGAGATGTGGACAAGCACATCCTGGAACATGCTATTCAAATGGCAAACATGAAGATGGGGAGGGGGAGGGGAGGCTGTTGCGCACAGCTTATATATGAATGTGCTATCATGAATCCCACTACTTCCAGTTGTGATGGCTAGCATCTGTAGTCCTGTGTGTAACTCGGGAGTCTACCTCTGAGGAGGATTCCTGTGAGTTCAAGACCAGTGTGGGCTCCAGAGATCCTGTCTCAAAAAATAAACAAACAAACAGCAAATAAACAGGCAGAAAGAAAAAAAATGGTGACAACGGTTCAGTGGTTAAGAGGGCTTGTTGCCTTTCCGGAGAACCAGAGTTCGGTTCCTGGAAACCTGGTGGAGCGCCTCACAATTGTCTGTGACCTTAGGTTCAAGGGTTCTCACAGCCTCTTCTGACCTCTGTGGGTACCTGCACTTATATGTACATGCATGCATTCACACACACACACACACACACAAATATTTAAATTTTTGCAATTTTTATTAGTTTATTTTTTATATTACAATCCCAGCTCCCCCTCCCTCCTCTCCTCCTGGTCCCCCCACTCCCCACCCCCACACCTCCCCATCAACTCCATGGAGAGGGTAAGGCCTCCCCTAGGAAGTCTGCTAATTCTGTCCCATCATCTCGTTAAGGTAGGACCAAGGCACCTCCCCACCCCCCACACCCCTGTGTCTAGGCTGAGCAAGGTATCCCTCACCATTCCACTAAGTCGGTTTGTGCAACTTTTTAATTTTAATTTTTAAAAGGAATAAAACTGTTCTTGGCAAAGATCCCATCATCCAGGCAGATCCCATCATTTCAGGGGTAGACCCAATATCCTCCACATAAGTCTGTCCATGACCTCATCAATCCTGCAGCTTTCCTGCTGTCAAAACCAGTACAATACTGAACAAACACTCTTACATATGACCAAGTTCTGCTTCCTGCTTGAGATGCAGCCCTGGCTCCTCTGGACCACAACCTCTGTGTGCTGACCCCCAAGAAACGGCTTCCCAGGAGATTTCCCTCTAAGTGATGCTGCTCCCTTGTTAGTCACAGCTGGTTCTTCAGCCCTAGCATCAACTGAGCCAGTAAATCAAAGAAGAATTCAATTTCACAGATTTGGGTGGGGCTTGGGGGGAGGGGGTTGAAACAGGGTTTTTTTGTTGTTGTTGTTTTGTTTTGTTTTTCTGACAGGGTTTCTCTGTGTATCCCTGGCTGTCCTGGAACTCACTCTGTAGACCAGGCTGGGCTCAAACTCAGAGATTGCTTGCCTCTGACTTCTGACTGCTAGGATTTAAGGAGTGTGCTGCTGCCACCTGGTCCTAATTGCACATATTTTATTTATTTATTTATTTATTTATTTATTTATTTGTTTGCCACTGGGCCATCTCTCTGGCCCCGATTCCACAGATTCTTAATTCAAATATATCACACACAAATGGCTCTGAAAGAGACGTTCAACACACACACACACACCACACACGCATGCACGCACGCACCCTCACTCGCTGCAACCTTACAGGTCAGGTGGTCTTTGCTCCTATGCTTATCTTCCTAGTTCCCACAACAGCTCAACAAACTCTGAGCACTTGGTGGTTTTTCTAGCCCAGGGCTTGCAAATCCTCTCCCTTTCTCCTGCAAAACATCCTAAGGAATAAACACCACATGGACAGATCTATTACCTCAATGCCCATCCTCTGATAACTATCTCTATTCTAGTTGGTTTCTGTTGCCCTGATTAAAAACCAAACCAAACCAAAACAAACCAAAACAAAAAAGACCTCACTGGCTAAAAGCGAATTGGGGAGGAAAGGCTTAATTTAGCTTACAGGACACAGTCAACAGTTATATAGAGGCCAAGAAGGAATCAAGGCTGGAACCTAGATGGAGGAACGGAAACAGAGACCCTCGAAGACACTGGCTTGCTTCCGGTTCTCACTCCATTAGCTGTCTGGTTCTCCTGCCCACCCCCATCTCTACCGTACCTCCACCGTGCTTACCCAGAGGGTGCACAGTGACTGGGCCCTCCTACACCAATTAGCAAGCAAGATAATGCCTTGCATATATGGCCTTGGGGAAATCTGATAGAGGCGATTGCTCAATTGAAGTTAACAACCAAGATTAGCCATCACAGACTGGCCAGTCTAGTCTACTTGGTGAGTTCCAGACCAGCAAGAGACCTTGTCTCAGAAACAAAAAAAGGTAACAAAACACTTAAGATTGACTTTTTTTTTTTCTTTTAGAGACAGTGTTTCTCTAAGTACCCTCTGGCTGTCCTGGAAACAAAACACTTAAGATTGACTTTTTTTTTTCTTTTAGAGACAGTGTTTCTCTAAGTACCCTCTGGCTGTCCTGGAAACAAAACACTTAAGATTGACTTTTTTTTTTTCTTTTAGAGACAGTGTTTCTCTAAGTACCCTCTGGTTGTCCTGGAATTTACTCTGTAGACTGGCCTGCATCTACTGGATTAAAGGCATACACCACCATTAACACCGCCCAGCTAAGGTTGACTCTCAGGACTGGAGAGATGGCTTAGTGGTTGAGAACACTGACTCCTCTTCCAGAGAACTCGGGGTTCAATTCCCAGGACCTCTGTGGCTGTTCACAATTGTCCGTTAACTGCAATTCCAGGGGGTCTGATGAACTCTTCTTCTCCGCCACCCCCCCAGCAGGTACGCCCCTGGTGCACAAAATAAAGGGAATAAACGGCCAATATCAAGTGTTTGGGAAATAATGGAACAACTGAAATTCTTCATGCCCTCCCAAACACTCCCCCTTCCCTTCCCTCCTCCCCCCAACCCCTTTTCTTGACAGGGTTTCATGTACCCCAGACTGACCAGAACTCAATGTGTAGTCAAGCGTGACTTTTGACCCTCCTCCTGCTTGTACCTCCCAAGTCCCAAGATCACCAGTGTGGCCCACCAGGATTTCAGGTATGCTAGGCAAGCAAGCATTCTACCGAGTAAATTAGGTTCCCCAGCCCTAAAATTCTTTTTTTTGTTGTTGTTGTTGTTTGTTTGTTTGTTTTCGAGACAGGGTTTCTCTGTGGCTTTGGAGGCTGTCCTGGAACTAGCTCTTGTAGACCAGGCTGGTCTCGAACTCACAGAGATCCGCCTGCCTCTGCCTCCCTAGTGCTGGGATTAAAGGTGTGCAAATGACTTTGTAACAGTACGTTAGTTAGAGCTGAATTTGGTGGCATATGTCTGTAATCCCAACACTAGGATATAGAGGTGAATGAATCAGGAGTTCAAGGTCATCCTCAGCTACATAGAGAGTTCAAGCCCGTCTTCGGCTTTCTTTCTTTATACTTGAAAGGTTTCTGTACCCCGATATTAAGCCTCTCTGCCGATGCAGCAAATCAGATCAGGCCGAATTAATAGTCCAGGTTTATTGACTGGGTGGTCTTGGGTTAGAAGAGAAACCAGGAGGAAGACTACCCTGTAAATGGGGGAGGGGGGTGCCGCACCTTAAATAGCCTATAGGCATGGTCTTGAGCATCTAAAGGGGAGGAGCTGCTGACTGCAGGGTTCCTCAGGGGCGGGGTCTGGAATGGGAGGAGCGAGACTGGGTGGAGCTTCCCAACGTCACTCTTCTTAAAACTGTAAAGCAATATGAGGTTAGTCAGACAGCTCATCTAGTAAAAGTGCTAGGCGCCAGGACAGCCTCCAAAACAATGCAGAGAAACCCTGTCTCGAAAAAAAAAAAAAAAGTGCTAGGCGCACAAGCGCGGGGACTCGGGTCCAATCCCTGGGAACGCCCTCCAGAACCGACTCCCAGGTTATTCCCTCACAGCCACAAGCGCGCGGTATCACCAGCCTGCACATACGCTTAACTTGCTTAATTCCGAAGAAGTCAGTTGGAACACACACTCTACAAAACTTCTTGGGAAGATGTACAAAACTCACACTTTGAGCAGCCGTTTCATTCATTCACTTATTATTATTTTTTTAATTGTTGGTGTTTTTTTGTTTTTTTGTTTTTGCTTTTCGAGGCATGGTTTCTCTGTGGCTTTGGAGGGTTTGTTTTCCTTAAGATGGGTTTTCTCTGCGTATCCTTGGCTGTCCTGGAACTCGCTATGTAGACCAGGCTGGTCTCGAATTCACAGAGATCCGCCTGCCTCTGCCTCCCGAGTGGAGTGCTGGGATTAAAGGTGTGCACCACCAACGCCCAGCTCTTTCTTTCTTCCTTCCTTCCTTTTTTTTTTTTTTGTAATAACATCTATTGGATAGAATGAGCTGACCTGGATTTCTCTCTCTTCTTTCAAGGATTTAAAGGGCACGGAGTGTTTTGCCTTTGTGTATATATGCGCACCACGTGCATGCCTGGCCAGAAGAGGGCACTGTATCCCCTGGAATTGGAGTTAAGGATGGTTGTGAGCCCTCATGTGAGTGCCGGGAATTGAACTCAGGTTCTCTGCCAAGAGCAAGAAGTACTCCAACCAGGACAGCCTCCAAAACAATACAGAGAAACCCTGTCTCGAAAAACCAAAAAAAAAAAAAAAAAGTACTCCAAAACTGCTGAGACATCTCTCCAACCCTGGCCTGAAGAATCTGTTGATCCTTGCCTCAGCCTCCTGAGTGCTGTAATTGCAAGCTTTTACTTCCACATCTGGCAAGGGCCAATTGTTAACGCTCTTTAATTTAAGTTAATTTATTATTGTTAGTTTGTATGGGTGTGTATGTATGGCCTGTGTGTGACTGCAAGTGAATGTGTGCTATAGCATGAGTACGCAAGTTGGTGAACAACTTTCTTCTTAAAGATTTAATTATTTATTTTATGCATATGAGCACTCTATCTGAATGTACAACTTTATGCCAAAAGAGCCACCGTGTGGTTACTGGGAATTGAACTCAGAACTTCTGGAAGAGCAGCCAGTGCTCTTAACCACTGAGCCATCTCTCTAGCCCAGCTGTTACACGCTTAAGTAGCATCTGGCAGTATGACCATGAGGAGAACTAATGTTCCACCTTGACATAGGCTGGACGTCACAAACTCTAAGACTCGGAAGACTGAATTTGTGGGACACACTTTCCCTGGGGAGACACAACATATATATTTATCTACCCCAGATAGGGATCCCACAAGAGACCTGAGTACAGATGCCACCTAAGTCCAATTTGGTGAACCACTGTGTTTTATTGGGGTTACTTACAGGAGCACAAGTGACTCAAAAACAATAGTATCACCAAAGCCCATCCGTGCATGGGCGACAGCTACTAAAGCTGGTAGCCTGGAACACGCCATACAGCTCAACAGGTTGATTCAGTTGTTCTAAACCTCTTCCAGGCATCTTAAGTGGTTTTTGCTTCTTCAGGACACCTGGTCTCTCTCAAGAGTCTTTTTTTCCTGCTTGGCTTGTTGACAATGAGAGGGAGGAGCCTAGTGAATCTGGTTAGTTTCAGGGACTTCCTGAAGCTATTTTGAGGCATTTACTTTCCTGCTTAAGGCGCTTCCCTGCAGGATGGAATGTTTTATTCAGCCTCTGTGGAAACAGTTATACAACAGAGCTATCCGTGAGAGTATTTTCAGGGGCATTCCATTTATATGCAGCAGTATGGTGGTTTGAATGAATATGGCCTCCATAAGCCCAAGAGGTGGCAGTATTAGGAGGTGTGGCCTTGTTGGAGGAAGCGTGTCACTGGGGGGTGGGCTTTAAGGTTTCAGAAGTTCAAGCTACAGCCCAGCGTCTACAGAGGCTGAAACAGGAAGATTTGAAAATTCAAGCCTCAAAGGACTATAGACTGAGTCACTTGGACAACTAGGTGAGATCCTGCCTCGAAATAAAAGGGGATAGAAATCTGAAGTTGTAGCTCAGTGGGAGAGAACTCCCCGCCACCACTCTAGCACCAAAAAGCAAACAGCCTCAAAACAAACAAGGTGTGAACTGTGCCTTACTAGAATTTACATTACTTAAAGTTATCACATCTCCCCTCCTCCTCGCTCTTGCTTTCTGAGGCAGGGTTTCACTGTTTCCCATGCTGCCTTTGAGTAGCCCAGGCTAGCCTTTAACTCACTTCACAGATCCATCTATCCTCAACTTGTCCTAATCCTCCGGCCTCTCTTCCTTAAGTGCTGGTATTATGCCATGCCCGGCTAATTTTACAAATTTATAGAAATAGGGTCATGGTGCAACCTCATCAAATACCTGGTGCACTGTATACTAGATGCCTCCAGTCCCTGGCACTCCAGGATTCTGCGACGATAGCCAGCATCACCCCCCACCCACCCAAATCCCTTCTCATTCCTTCCTCGTGATTGGCTGCCTTTCTGGCCAATGGTGGAAGATTTTTCATCATTTGCTGAATTCTCCCACAGCTGCAGCAAGATGCGGCTTTCTCTACTCTGCTGGTAGGCGGCGCTGTAGGATCACCGGCTCCTAGATCATGCTCGGCCCTGGTCGCTACCCTGTCTTTAATTCTCGGAAACGGAGACTATCTCCGAGCATCGCTAATTTGTCTTAAAACTTTTGTGATTTTTGTTTTTCTTTTTTACTCCCTTGCCTATCCATCGCTGCGACACGCATCCAGACCTGAAGCCCTGTATGTATGGTCCCTAGCACCACTGGTGATGTGCCCTCCAGCTATTTGGGCCTGCAGGGCCATGCTTGGGAAATCTTGATAGAGATCCAAGCCGGCAGCCCGCTCTCCTCTCTGTCAGCTAATTGTTTAGTCGGATGTTTGTTTATCCTGGAGTGGAGGGGAGCCGGGTTCGCGGGGGTGGCTGCCCCCAGGGAAGCCTGCTTCCTGTCGTTGGCTTACTCAGCTAGAAACGATTCTCCTTCTTAAGCACAGGGAAGAAATTACAGAGCTGGGAAGGCCCTGCCCAAAGGTACCTTCACCCAACAACAACAAAACCCTTCCTGAGCCCCTCCCTTTTGCTTAGACCTGTTAGAGACATTGATGGTGATTGTGGGGGGAGCATTAGGCCTGCTCTTATGCCACAGGGAAGAATTATTAAGAGATAGGGATGACCCAGGGACTTTAGGATCCTAGAGGGGCCACCTGACCCAACCTGAGGGGACATGTGAAAGTGGAAGCGAGCAGAGAACTTTGGCTTTTTGACGACCAGGAGACTGAATGCCAGCTATCCATTTTGTTTAACATCAATTAATTATTCATTAACGTTTATGTTTGGTTTTTTATTTTTGGTTGAGTCAGGGTCTCACGTAGCCTGTGCTGGTCTGGAACTCACAGTGTAGCCAAGGCTGACCTTGATCCTTCTGCCTGTGCCTTCAAAGGGCTGTGATTATAGGTGTGTGCTGGTACACTGGAGTTATACGACTTTGATGACTGAACCCGGGACGTGCTAGGCAGGCACTCTAGCAGCTGAGCTGCATGCTTTCCCAGTATATACGTCTATTAAAGACCCAGGATGAGGCCGGGCGGTGGTGGCGCACGCCTTTGGTCCCAGCACTTGGGAGGCAGAGGCAGGCAGATCTCCGTGAGTTCGAGGCCAGCCTGCTCTACAGAGTGAGTTCCAGAACATGCTCCAAAGCAATACAGAGAAACTCTATCTCCAACCCCCCCCCAAAAAAAACCAGGTCACATCTGTTAGGCCACTCTGAGGAACTGACTTTAACTTGGTACTCGAAGAAAAGGTGACAAACTCCAAAAAGGAAAACCGAAAGTTCATGTACTTTCCAAGACTGGGAAGGTTTGGAACGATACTTTCTTTATGTGAGTGGGTGGTTTGTCTGCATGTGTATCTGTGAATCACACTCTTGCTCCATGCCAGTGGAGATTTGAAGAAGGGCATCAGAATCCCTGGAACTGTACTTACAAAAGATGTGAGTCACCACACAAGTGCCAGGGATATAACTCAGGAAGAGCCTCCAGTACTTTTAACCACTCCAGCCCTGGAAGGGTGTTATAATAAAGATAGTTTTTGGCCAGGCGGTGGTGGTGCACACCTTTAATGCCAGCACATGAGAGGCAGAGGCAAGCAGATCTCTGTGAGTTCGAGATCAGCCTGGTCTACACTGATGAGTTCCGGGCGCTACATAGAGAAACCCTGTCTCAAAAAACAAAACAAAAAAAGTTTTTTGGACTGTATTGTGGTAGTGCATGAACTCATGTGAGAAATAGGATTTGTTTGTTTTCTCTCCAAGGAAGTTAGTCCTGAAATTTCCCCTCTCCCTTTACCCAGTTGATTAGCCAATTAATGTCAAATTGAGAAGTTGAGTTCCCATCAATGGAATAAGACAAAGTCACCTCCATCAGGAATAAAATACCAAAGCCATGTGTGCTTGAAAACTGGGTTTGGGTTTTGGCACAAGCACACATACATACACGCACACACACACCTTGAAGAAATGTATTTTTAATTGCGTGGGTGTTTTGCTTGCGTATGTCTCTGCAGTTCCTTGGGAGGCCAGAAGAGGGCACCAGTTTCCCTGGAACTGGCGTTTCAGGCAGTTGTGAAGCGCTGCCAATGGTCTTAATCTCTGATCCATGTTTACACCTCCCTGCAAGCACTGATTTTGAAAAATTAATGATGATGATAAATTGTCTTGCTGAGTTATTTTTGCTTTGTTCGTGTGTTCTTTCGTGATGCCAACATCATTCTTTCCAACACTCAGGAGGCAGAGGCAGAGGGAGGCCACACACTCAACTCCAGTCTGAGCTACATAGTAAACTCCAGGGGAGCCTGGGATACCTAGTGAGAAAAGAATTAAATGTATTCATCCTTTGTGAGGCCAGGGAGAATATAGCCTTCGGGTTCATCTGGACCTGGAGCTACCTGTGGTAGTGAAATGCCTGGCGTGGGTGCTGGGAACTGAACTCGAGTCCAGCTGCAAGCAAAGAACCCACTCCTAACTGCTGATCTCCCCAGCCACACCACCGGGACCCGCCGTCTTAACAGACTTCAATGAGAGGCTTCATTACTCAAATTTTAAAATGTGAGCGCATGTAATCTTATTTAGCAAAGCTTACTTAATATGTGGAAGCTATTCCCCTACGCCACCACCCTATACGTTTAGAAACACCGTACTGCTCCCCGAACTCTCATGTTGCTTTCTGACGTTTGCGTTATCCATGCAAGAGGGAGATACAAATGCCTGTCTTGACCCCAAAGAGATCACATTCATACTGCTCACATTACAACATAACATATTCATAGCGGCTTTATTATTGTTGTGGTTAATCCCGTGCTGAGAGTAACTCATCGACTATTACAGAGATCCCCCACATTTTACAGGGTGCTAGGGTCTGAGGGCGCCCCCTGGGAATCATGGCCACAGGGACTATGACACCTTATTCGATTCTCCCAGCGAGCCTCTGAGTTGGGCACTATTGTCCCACTTTACAGATGAAGAAGTGCAATGTTGGATGGGAAAACACGTACTTCCTTCATGCACCCCCGCACACAGTCCAGGCGCCGGGAAAGCCTGTCTTTCACAATACCCTCCTTCCGGAGGACTCCCAGAGGAATAGGGGTTGGAGGGGAGCCCTCTCCCGTCAGCATTACCCCCCCCCGAAAGCACCCCCAAGTGACACGTGGCTTGCTGTCATCTGCCCGACGCTGCAATGCAGGGCCTGTCCTCTCTCTGCCCGGGACCAAGAGCTGGGTGAAATCACCAGCAACCCTGTATCAACGCGCCAGGCCCACAGGTTTTTCTTCAGCGCCCGGGAAAGAGCACGTGCCCTCTGTCCCCGCCCACTCTTCCGGGCCGGCCAACTGCGAGGCTCGGATTGGGCTGCGGAGGACCACGCCCCCTGCTGCCCCGCCCAATCGGCTCCCTCGCCGGGTACGCTCCCTCCTCCGCAGCCCCGCCTCGCCGCCGCCCCACGTTACGTCCATCCCCTCTCTCCACGCCTCCCCCCCACTCCCTCCGTTATACCGAGGCTGCGGCTGGACTAGGCGAACCCACCGCCCCCTGCCTCCCATTGGCCGCTGAGGTCCCGCGCGAGCGGGATGGAGCCCTAGGTCCCCGCCCTCGGGAGCCGGGCCGTGCCCCCCCACCCCGAGCCCCCCCAGAGCTGGCTTTCTCCCGAAGCCGGCGCGGGGTGCTGTGGGTCCGTGTCGGGAGGGGCGGCGGGGGGAGGCGGAGGCACGGAGCGCGCCGCGACGACGACGCCACCGCCGCCGCCGCGCGCGCCCTCCCTCCTTCCCTCCCTCCCTCGGGTCTCTGCGCACGCGCGCCGAGCCCACCCCCGCCCCGCGCGCCCTCCTGAGCCGGCTCGGTTCGCGGGCGCCCTCGCGCTGCCGCTGCGAGTCTCGCGGCCGCAAGCTGCCGGGCGAGCGGGCGCTCGCCTCCTCCTCCTCGGGCGCGCACGCTCGCCCGCCCGCCCGCCCGCTCGGCGCCCTTCGTGCCCTCTGCCTGCTTGTCCTCCGGGGCTGCTGGCCGCGGCGGCGCGCGTGTCCCTGACGGGCCGTTATCCACCGTCCGCCCCCTCCCCACCGCCCCCTCCAACGCCACGGGCACCTCAGACACGCACGCGCACTAGCGAGAGGGTCTCGAGGCGGGGGGGGGGGCGCGCGCGCGCGCACGGCCGCGGCGGCCGCAGGAAGGAGGAGGCGCCGCCGCCGCCGCCGCCGCCGCCGCCATTGCGCGGGAGGGAGGGAGCGAGCGAGCGAGCGAGGCAGGTCCGCCCTCCCCCTAGTTCCCGCCCCTCCCCCTTCCCCTCCCCGCCCCCCGCCCCGAGGGAGAGCCGCGGCGCGGCGGGAGGAGGAGGAGGTGGAGGAGGCGGAGGAGGGAGCCCGCGAGGGAGGGTCCGCCCGGCCCCCCGCCGCCGCCGGAGCCGCCGCCACCGCTCCAGCCGCCTCAGGAACGAGTCGCCAGGGGAACATGGCGCCGGGCCCGCCGTCGCTGCGGCCGGGATCGCGGAGGCCGGGGCCGCGCTGAGGGCGCCCCCCGAGGCTGGTAAGTGGCTCCGCGGAGCTGGCGGAGGGGAATGTGGAGACGGGGCGAGGCGCCGGGCGCCGCCCCGCTGCGGGATCCAAGGGTGGGGGGGGAAAGGCGGGGACCGCGGGGCCCGGAGCCCGCGAACAATGGAGGAGCCGGAGGGGGGAGGGGAGGGAGCGCCCCCCTTCCCCCCAGCGCCCCGCGGTCCCCGCGTCCCAGCCGCTGCATGCCCGGGCCCGGCCCGCGCGGCTCGCCTTGCCCTTGCTGTTCGCCGCTGTCCGCAGCCCTGCAATCCCGGGCGTCTGCCTCCACACGCCCCATCACGACCCGATGGGGGTATTCTCGGTGTCTCTCAGCCTCCACTCGAGATATCCGACTCCCAATTCCGAGCCTCCTCCTTTTCCCACTTCCTCCTCCCCTCCCTCCACCCCCCCCCCCAGTCATACCCTTCGCTGCTGCCTCCTGGAGTCGGTTGTGCTCCCGGGACGACCTTCCTCCGCACTGACCCCTCTGTATCCCTTCTGGTGCCCACTTTGGACATCCGTGGCCCTCCTACCTTATCTGTTTTCTGTTAGCATCACTTTTGGGGTGAGGTCACCGTCTTCCTCCTCTGGCCTGTCTGCTGTTATTATTCTTGACTCGGCACCTCTTGCATCCGCAGGAGCTGTCCCTTTAGGACCTGCGGTTCCACCTCCGTGGAGATCCATGGTAGACCTCTCTTGGTGGAGGCACTGTTGCCCTCCCGTTCTCTGCTTTGGACGCAATTTCTCCCCTCACTTGGGCCCAACTGCCCCACATATCTGCCCCGGCCGTAACGCGGAACCTGCTGCACCTCCCTGGGATGCCCCTAGGCTTCTACTCCAACCGTTTTCGGATTCACATACTGTGTGCTCACCCCGTTTGGCATGCAGATCCTATCTGTCTTTCCAGACCCTTCTGCCAGCCGACTCTGCCCCTTGCCGGAGCTCTGATCTTGCATGCACTCCCCTGCAGTGCCTGGCTTTCCGTCCCCCCCTCTTTCTGTCCCTCGGGGTGTTTCCTTTCTGCCATTCCCTGCAGCAGACCTCTGCCCTAACCCTAACTCCGTCTTAGTGGTGCCCTGTCTCTGCCCCTGTATTTTCTTTGAGTCCCTCCTCTTTCTCACCTTTATTTCAGAGCTCCTGAGCTCTCCTCCATTCATTTGCCCCCCTACCCCTTAGCCTGTCTCCAGAAAGTTACTCTCCACTTAGGACTCGATCCCCGTGTCTGTGTCTTGTTGCTACTGGTGTGCCTGTGTGCCCCAGATGCCTCTGACCCTTCGCTCTTCAGCCACTCTGGTTTTCTTAGGCTTGCTTTTTTCCCACTGGCTTTCCCCCTGATTCTCTTTGGTGGGTGCCCCCTCCCCACAGCTCCCTTTTGGAGCTGTCCACGAATCTGTATATTTTCAACCCATCATTAACTTTACTGTGGCTGTCCCTGTCAGAGTGATCCTCTCTGCCACTGATCTCCTTGTTCCCACCTTTGGTCCTTGTCAATTCCAAGCCTGCCCCCCCCATTCTGCCTTCCCCGGCTTTTCTTCCTCTTCATTCTCTGTCCCTGTTTTGCTCTGCCGCTTAACCTCCTCCTAAGCCCTCGTCTCCTTAGTTCTAACCATTCCTTTCTTGTTATTTCTGTTTCCCTTTTCTTGGAGCCTCCAAGTTCTTGAGTAGATGCTCATTTTCTCTTGATGCCCTCTCTGTTCCTGTCCTCGGTGGCTTCTTGCTTTCCTCCCTCTAGGCTTTTTTCCTTTTCCTCCTACCCTGTCAGACTCCCTTTCCAGTACCACACCTGCTTCTTGGGGCTCCTTACCCATTGCCAACAGGCTCCCCATTGAGGATATCCCCCTTTAGGTCTGTCTTTACCTGTTAATGCATGTCCCAGCATTTGCCAAGATAGGCTGGGGCCAGCTTCTCCAGGCCCTGGCCCAGAGAATTGCAGATTCTCTGTGGAGCCCTGAGTGTTTTGGATTTTGTCCCCAAAGTTCTGAGATCTGCTGCAGAGGTAGGGGTAGGGCGGCTAGGGTTGCAGTTCTCTGCAGTTTGGGAGCATCTCCCCATTTCTCTGATTTGTACCATGGTTAGTGATGGTGGGTAGACCGTTGCCCCATTTCCCCTTCTGAGCTCTCTCTGCTCCCTCTCTGGGCCTCACAGCTTTGTGTCCTTGGAAAAGGGGACAACAGTCGCTCATGGCTCTTTATTCTTCTCACTTCACTCCTTGCTTTCTTTGGGCAGTTGAAGACACTGTCTACACTGTCTGCCCTCTTCTCCACACCAGCACCTCTGGGGAGTGTTCAGGAGTATGCTTCTTTGTCCTTTTTTTTTTTTTTTTTTTTTTGTTCCTAGCTGAAAAATCATATTGTTATGTTACTCCAGGCCAGGGAAATGCCAGTTCTCAAGTTCTGCAGGTCCCAGGGGGTATTGTGACCACACTTGGTGTTTACTGCTCTGGCCTTCCCTCCTGGCCTTTGGTTGATGCTGTGACCTTGAGGGTGGGGCTACACCCAGTGGGTTTCTCCCTTTGTCACCTTTACCCCCAAAGGCTCCAGCTTCCCAGTCTTCAAAATGGTGAGGGCCTGTGTATGGAAAGCTCTTTGTGGTTGTTGTTGAGAGAAACAGCCACCCTTTCTGCCCTCTGGTACTGCTGGCACTCCCAGTCACAGAAGCCCATACCTCTGGGTAGATCGGTGCTGGTTTGCTGGGCTCCTGAGGAATTGAAACAGGGAACCAGTGGTTGAGTTGACATCCCCAGACACTGTGAGGGACCTGGCTGGGAGGAATTGGAGAGGGCTGCCAAGAGCTGGCTGATGTGAGTGGATTTGGGATTGATGTCTGTGAGCTAGCTGGGCCTTTCGACCTGTGTCCCTCAAGTTCCTCGGTGATTTTGTGATGGCGGTTTAGAAAATGTATTCAGAGGTAGGTGTCTTTACAAAAGAGCTGTTTGACCACGTTCTTCTTGAACTTATTTCTTAAGTAAATCTAAATCAAAAGCCTGTTTTTTTTTGTTTTTTGGGTTTTGTTTTTGTTTTTTCCTCTCTGTGGCCTAGGGCAGTTGCATATTAAAACAGCTATCCAGCTGTGAAGGCACATTTACTGGAAGGACTTTCCTTTTTAACAGAGCTATGATCAGACTGTTTATTTCAGCACCTGCTTAGAAATAGTTCTGTGTGAACACATTTGAAATAAAAAACCTTCACTGTCATCTACAGAATTAGACCATTGACTCATCCAATGTTGGGGCATTTGTGTACAAGAACATGGAGGGGCTGCACAATAGATCTGTGTTACTCTTTTTTAGAGTACTCAGTTTTAGAACTGTAGGTTTTCTGGGTCTGGGACTTTTTTTCCCTCCCCCCTCGGTTGGAACTATGGTTGGAAGTCAGTATCATGAACATCATGAACATTGCTATGCTTGTTCTGCCCCTGACTGAGCTACAGGACTTTAAACTCTGACAAGCAGAGTCTGGGGATTTTGGTGCCATGTAGCACTTTGGTCTGTTTCCAGTAGTGTGTCTTTGGCCTCGCGTCACAATTAATCTCCAGAGTTTATTTAAGAGTTTGTATTGTCCATGTCAGTACAAACACTTAGTTGTGTTGCTGTTTCACTCCTCATGTGTAGGTGACACCTAATTAAGAATAGGAGAAACTGTGTGTGCAGCACCGCTACAGTGTGTCCCGGAGTTCTCCTAACACTGTCAGCCTAAAAAGTCGTGTGTGCTCAAAGCTGGGGAGAGACAGCAAGAACAAAGACCGTCACATTTCTCTCATCCTAGTGGGGACTCCAATCCCGGAGTTGACATTTGCTTTCGTGATGGAATTGGGTGCTGCAGAAATGGGAGGTGGTAGCCTTGGCTTCTGGAACAGCTCATGTGCCAATTGGGGTGGAGTGTGAAGCAAGAGACGGCAGCAGACTTTTTTTTTTTTTTTTTTTACTGTGCTAGCATGTCTTTAAGGGCTCGTAGCTATATTCCTAACATTAACCCCGTCTAGATTTTTAGAGTGAGCCTTTCTCAGCCCCTCCCCCTCTTTAAAACTAACCTTTCTTTGTACATGAGTACAAAGTCTCCTCTTCCTTGAGCATCACCTCCTGTTTTAATTTGTCTGGTGATGCCTCAGGACAAATGACAAGTCAGAAGCCATCATTCCTCTTCATACCAGACTGATGGGTACAGGTACCTGGCTCAAATGGTGACTTTTGGAAAAGGGCGTCTGGAAAGGGTGCAGGTCATACAGCTAATGAAGAGCCATAGCCGCATGGCTGTGTGTGTGTGTGTGTGTGTGTGTGTGTGTGTGTGTGTGTGTGTGTGTGTGTGTGTGGTCAGTCTTGCAGGCGATGGGACTGTGGTCACAGCCGGAGCAGTCTAGTCTAGATTGCACTTCCATCCTTGGTCTGAGGCAGTCTCCTGAAAGGTGTTAGACCTCTTGCAAACCTTCTGGCAATCTAAACAATGTCTTTTGTTCATTTATTTATTTTGATTTTTTGTTTTTGAGATAGGATTTTACATAGCCCAGGCAGGCCCCTCTATCTGGATATGTGGCTGAAGGTAGCTTTCCTTTTGCCTATCTGAAATTCTGCAATTGCAGATATGCACTACCGCATCTGGTGTGACTTATCCAGGCTGTGTGACATGTGATCAGTCATTTAATTATTTACATTTCCTATCTTTTCATGAACCCCAAGATTCTTTGCCTGTAGAGGGAAGGTGATCAGCAGAAATGCCATCTTGGGTCTTGGGGTTTGGTGGAACCTCGTTTGAAAATCAGTGCCCCATTTGCAAGTGGGGAAATGAAAAGTTTGCCTGGGGTGATGTTGTAGGTTTCTGCCGTATTAGAAGAGCATTGGATACATGAGTAGGGGGCCTGCCTTCTGTCTAGGCCATGTCCTAATTAATTAGCACTGGGGACAGCTTGCTCCTCCACAGGGCTGGACACCACTGTCTGAAGTCTGAAGTCCAGCCCTGATTTAGACTCCATTCAGCAGAATATGATGTTAGAAGAGCTGGGACTGGGACTTGGATCCCTCTCTTGCCCTTGTCGTGTCCTAAAACAGAATTGAGATGGGGCTTTTCTTGGGCTAGGAGGAGACTGAACAGGCTTACCCTTGTGGATCCTTTTTTCAACACTGCCACTTTCTCAGCCATTCACATGGAAATTAGTTTATAACGTGGGGTGGGGGATGGGCTGTCCAGATTGTATTAGCTATGTAACTCAGCTTACACCTCTTTTATAAAATGGTAGGGAATTTCTCAAGCTGAGTCATTGTTGACCTAGACTCTCAAGTAGCATTGGTCTGAACAGTACTTGAATTGCTGGTATTAAGAAATGCAAACAAATCATTGGTGTTCATCCTCCCAAAAGTTTATTTCTGTTTAACTTGTGGTATAATATTTTATCAGAATTTATCTATAAAGAATTCTTGAAAATAAATGGGCAGCTGTCAATCTGATTTTCATTTATGGGCATTTCTGATCTTGAGGAGCACCACTGAGCTTAGTGGAGAACTGGGCACTTTCAGCCATGAAGCATCATTACAGAAATGTAGTATTTGTTTTTGCTGGAAATAGCCTACTTGCCTATATCCCTCACTTTCCCTTATGAAAGGAGTGCTGCTGTGTTATGGACTCGCAGCAGGAGTGGTTTGTGCACCTGTTGTAGTGTCTTCATTAATCTTTGTTCTCAGGCCCTCTCCTGACTTGAATATGTCCTCCTCCTGGTCATTGTAGTGAGTTGGTGATTGAAATTGAACCATTGAGAGAAAGCTTCCCATGCTGTAAAAACATGTTGACAAAGCCAAGCACAGTGGCATACTTTATAATCCCAGCGCTTGAGAGGTAGTTCAAGGCGAGCCTGGGCTATGTGAGATCCCGTCTCCA